AAAAGCACAGTCTAGCACAATACCAACAAAGAGGAAAAATAACAGCTCTCAAAAGAAACCAGCATGGCTGCATAAAGAACTCTCTGACAAATTGAAAGATAAAAAGGACAAGTACAGAAAGGGGAAAGAGGGGAACATAACTAAGTCAGAATATCAGCAAATAGCACCGAGCCTGCAAAGATGAAGTGAAGAAAGCAAGGCCAAAATGAAACTAAGGCTTGAGACCCCCAAAACAAGGGGGGGGGGTTTTTTTCAAAAATAACCAAAAAAAGCTTGCTTTCCAACATGTAAAAAACAAGAAAAAAGTGAAGGAAATGATTGGTCAATTATGGGCGGAAGTGGCAGAAAGGTGACAAGCAAACATGGGAGAAAGCAGAACTAATTTAACTCATTTTTTTGATTCTGTCTTGACACAAAGGAAAAAAAAACAGACCCACCTATCAAAAATAGTGCCATAAAAACAAACCCAGAAACACAAGTTAAGATAGGCAAGAAATGGTTGAAAAGGGTTAGGGACCACCTGTCCAGCCTAGATGAGTTCAAATCACCAGGACCAGATGGATACACCCCAAGGTTCTCAAGGAACTGGAAGATGTGATATCGGAACCACTGAACTATATTTTTCAAAGATCCTGGAACACAGGGGAACTACCAGAGGACTGGAAAAGAGCTGATGTAGTTCCCATCCTCAAAAAAGGGAAAAAAATGGATCCAGGAAATTACAGACCTATCAGCCTGACTCAATACCTGGGAAGATCCTGGAAAAGATAATCAAACAACGAATCAACGAACACCTAGAGGCAAACAAAGTCATTACTAAAAGCCAACATGGGTTTGTCAAAAATAGATCATGCCAGACAAATCTTATTGCATTCTTTGACCACGTGACAAAATTAGGGGATCAGAGGAATGCTGTGGACATAATTTACTTGGACTTCAGTAAGGCATTTGATAAAGTAGATCACAACCTACTACTTGACAAGATAGAAAAATGTGTGGTAGACAGAACAACCACCAGATGGATCCGTAGCTGGCTGACCGGCCGTACTCAGCGAGTGGTCCCAATGGAACCGCATACTATATGGAGGGAAGTGTTAGTGGGGGCCCTAGGGCTCTGTCTGGGCCAGTACTCTTCAACATCTTTCATCAACGATTTGATGAAGGGATAGATGGGGAACTCATCAATTTGAAGATGACACCAAGCTGCAGATACGCCAACACTCCAGAAGACAGGCTTCAGATACAGAAGGATCTGGACAGACTTGAACACTGGGCACTAACTAACAAAATGAAATTCAATGTTGAAAAAAGCAAGGTTATACATTTAGGCAAGAAAAACCAAATGCACAAGTACAGCATAGGTGGCACCATGCTCAATAGTAGTAACTGTGAGAGGGACCTCGGAGTCCTAGTAGACAATAACCTAAATATGAGCCAGCAGTGTGCTGCAGCTGCCAAAAAGGCCAACACAGTGCTAGGCTGCATTAACAGAGGGATAGAATCAAGATCACGTGAAGTATTAATACCACTCTTCAATGCCTTGGTAAGGCCACACTTGGAAGACTGCATCCAGTTTTGGTCACCACGATGCAAAAAAGATGCTGAGACTCTAGAAAGAGTACAGAGAAGAGCAACAAAGATGATTAGGGGACTGGAGGCTAAAACATATAAGGAACGGTTGCTAGAATTGGGTATGTCTAGTTTAATGAAGAGAAGGACAAGGGGGGACATGATTCCAGTATTGCAGTATTCCAATATCTCAGGGGCTGCCATAAAGAAGAGGGAATTAAGCTATTTCCCAAAGCACCTGAAGGCAGGACAAGAAGCAACGGGTGGAAACTAATCAAGGAGAGAAGCAACCTAGAACTAAGGAGAAACTTCCTGACAGTGAGAACAATTAATCAGTGGAACAGCCTGCCTCCAGAAGCAGTAAATGCTCCAACACTGGAAGTTTTTAAGAAGAGACTGGACAGCCATTTGTCCGAAATGGTGTAGGGTTTCCTGCCCGAGCAGGGGGTTGGACTAGATGACCTCCAAGGTCCCTTCCAACTTTACTATTATTATTATTATTATTATTAAGTGTGAAAAATGGTCATAAGTTACTTTTTTGAGTGCCGTTGTAACTTTGAACGGGTCACTAAACAAACTGTTGAAAGTCAAGGACTACCTGTATTCAAACCAAGCAAGTCTACATTACATGTGAATGTGTGAAATGTTCTGAGATGGGGTCTGAGTGGGTCAAAAAAAGTCAAGATGGCAGCTCTGACTATACAGTGAAATACTTTTTTTCCTTTGTGCCATATTTGCAATCCATGGGGGGAAAAAAGGATCAGAGTTTCCAATGGTGGTTACCACTGTAACCTTTTTAATCTTCCCTTTGTTGATTCCCCTGTGGTCTGAGAATGTTCATCAGACAGGAATTGCAAGGATTATTATCAGCTGCCTACCTTCGCCTTCTTTGAAGCTTGCTAGCAAGTGCCAAGGCCTGAGGGAGGAGGGACAACTTGGGAGGGGAAGAGTGCTGGAGATAACAATAATAAAGTTGGAAGGGACCTTGGAGGTCATCTAGTCCAACCCCCTGCTCAGGCAGGAAACTCTACACCATTTCAGACAGATGGCTGTCCAGTCCCTTCTTAAAAACTTCCAGTGTTGGAGCATTCACTGCTTCTGGAGGCAGGTTGTTCCACTGGTTAATTGTTCTGTCAGGAAGTTTCTCCTTAGTTCTAGGTTGCTTCTCTCCTTGATTAGTTTCCATCCGCTGCTTCTTGTCCTGCCTTCAGGCGCTTTGGAGAATAGCTTGACTCCCCCTTCTTTGTGGCAGCCCCTGAGATATTGGAACACTGCTATCATGTCCCCCCTCAGGGATGTGAAGGGATCTTGTGTGAAATTGGGGAATATGGACCTTGACAGGAATCAGAGGTGCTAAGCTGAGTCCTCTTCCTCCTTTTCAAGGACACCGACCAGGGAAAGGAATTTGTCCTGGCGCCGGAGGCACCACATTCCCAAAACTTCAGAATGGGACCTGACTGGACTGCTCTCCCAGAGGAGTTTTGGACATCAGGGACTGCGCTCAATACATGCTTTTCATACGGTTTTCCTTCAGAGCGTGCCTTGCTCACGCTGCACTTAACATCTCCAGTAAAAGTACCTTTTCCTTAATGCTTATGGAGTCAAGGATCATTCTTTCCTAGGGAGCAAGTTGGGGCCAGTCTGACAATTATTGTGAACTCCTATAAATCATATAAAAACTATCTTTGCACGTTTTCTGATATGTTCAAAGTAATCTGCCATCGAATGTGAGATGAAGTCAAAAGAAGCATGTCCAAGGAAAGAAAACATTCCCCCTCCAATATTTATACATACATATTATACAGGTGGTCCTCGACTTACGAGCTACCTGAAAAAGGGGACTTATGACCAGAATCCTAAGTTCCCACAATCAGCCCCTGGGGTCACATAATTGCACTTCAGGTGCTCAACAGCATAGCCATCTGTGACATCTTGCAGTCATGTGACCAGGTTTTATGACAGTTTTGCCAAGACCCACTTCAGTTTTGGCAAAAATCATACCATAGCAAATGGTGGGACTGCTTAATGACCTTGGTGTTCACTTATCAACGGCCACAAGAAGTTGTGAAATTGGATCGGTCATGTGACTGAGCTGTTTTAAGATCGTTACAATTTATGACTCCATTATAATCTAACAGGTTCCGTTATGGTCTAACTTAGTGGTTCTCAACCTTTTTAATGCCACGACCCCCAACCCCCAAGACTACTCAACCGGTCATAAGTCGAGGACTACTCAACCGGTCATAAGTTCAGCACCGTTTGCAGAATGGGACTTTTGGCGGGCTCAGCAGGGCAGAGACAGCCTGGACAATTCCTATTGGCTTTTGAAAGCCAATAGAATTAGACTCTATTCAAAAGAGTCTATTCTATTGGCTTTCAAAAGCCAATAGAATAAAAGGGAGTAGCACAGCTAAGGAAAAGGGGGGGGGAAATGGTGGACTGCATTGTTTGGCGACCCCTGTGAAATGGTTGTTCGACCCCAAATGGGGTCCCGACCCATAGGTTGAGAACCACTGGTCTAACTTAACGACTACCTGTATAAAGGAATATGAATTAGGACTGTACATGTTTTAAACCAAGGGCCTTCAAACTTGGCAACTTTAAGACTTATGGACTTCAATTCTCAGAATTCCTCAGCCAGCCTTGGCTGAGGAATTCTGGGAGTTGAAGTCTACAAGTCTACAAGTCTTAAAGTGCCAAGTTTGAAGGCCCCTGTTTTAAACTAATATGGGAGAACTGCTTTGACTTTCCTGTAAATGCAGCAACTCTTTGCTTTTCATTCCAGCATCCTAAATATAAAAAAAGATGATGCTCCTTGAAGAAATCCATTGATTCAAATTACTTCAACTTTTAAAGCATCATCATCATCTTTTTTTGTCAGGAACCCACATAGTCCTGTAAGAAGACCTGCATGTCTCCATGAAGAGTGAGGAAGGACTATGACAGTCTTTGTGAAGGTTTCTTCTAAATCATTTTCGTTAAAGCTTGCACAGCCCTAATCTATACATTATAATTACGTTTTAGGCTTACTTTGGTGTCCTGGCATTCGGGTTTCAGCTCCTGTTACTGATTGCTTGAAAATTATGAAAGGCAGATTTGTCAGATGATATATTTTTTCTATCCTGCTTTATGGAGTAGAAGTTGGTCTCTGACAGAAGGCCACCTGAAGAGACTAGAAGCATTTGAAATGTGGATTTACAGGCGGCTGTTACGTATAAGCTAGGTTGACAAGATCAGAAATGAGGAGGTGATAAGCCGCCTGGGAAAGCTGAGGGAACTCATCAAAACAATTAAAAAAATGAAAATTAGAATATTTCGGAGATGTGATGCGACACCCAGAAAAATACGGCATGCTCCATTTAATCCTCCGGGGAAAGATTGAAGGCAAACGAGGTCCAGGCAAAAGAAGAACATCGTGGCTTCAAAATCTAAGGGACTGGTTTGAACAAAACTCAGCAGCACTTTTTCGTGCAGCTGCTGATAAAAACAGGATGGCCAACATGATCCCCAACCTCCGATAACGGATATGGCACAAGAAGAAGAGATTCAGACGATGTCAGAATAGTGATCTAAACTTAGGTTAAAGTTTCTGTCTCACTCACTGTTGGGCATTCACTGCAGATCCTTTTGAATGGCTGGCTTGTCAGGTCAATGGGCTGAGGCTTTCCCAGGAGAGAGTTCAGTGTTTTCTGAAGATTCTTTCCAGGGAGTTCTTCGGATCCAGGCCTTTGAGTCAGAAACTCCAGATGTTGCCTAGGGAGAGAGGGAAGAGGCTGGCGATTGGCCCTTTGCCTTTACATGCCGGTAGTCCTCAACATACGACCACAATTGAGCCCAAAATTTATGTGGCTAAGTGAAACATTTGCTAAGTGAGTTTTGCCCCATTTTACAATCTTTTTTTTTTTTTGTTAAAAGAATCATTGCAGCTGTGAAGTTAGTAACACGGTTGTTAAGTGAATCTGGCTTCCCCGCTGGCTTTGCTGGTCAGAAGATCACAAAAGGGGATTACATGACCCCGGGGCACTGCAACCGTTGTAAATATGAATCATTGGCCAAGCATCCAAATTTTAGTCAGGTGACCATGAGGATGCTGCAACACTCATGTGAAAAGCAGTCTTAAGTCACTTTTTTCAATGCTGTTGTTAAGTTTGAAGCGTCACTAAATGAACTGTTGTAAATTGAGGACCTCCTGTATTATTGTCTTGTGGACTTTGCATGTTGCATGCAAGGCATGAGAATTGCAACAAAAAGTTGGATGGTTGGGTACTTTCTTGTCAGGTTTGAAGACAGCCATGCCCTCTTCCAGAGTACTCCATTCCAGTACCTTCCTTATTTTTTATTCCCCTTACGAACAGGGAGTTATCACTGTATTTTTGTAGCCATTGAGCGAGCTTGGTCTTCATTTACGTATCTTTGTACCCTCCCCTCAACTACAAGAAGACTTGGGGAACTGAGTTCAGAACGAGGTAGTGTGGATCACTGGATTTTTTACATTACTGAAAAAAAGATAATTTAGAACATAGAGGAAACTTTCTAAAATAGGCATTCCTTCTAAGTGCTTCTGATACAGCACTCAGCCAAACTTGGCTGTATTTGAGAAAGCTAGCAAAGATCAGACCTGGTTAGTATTTGAGTAGGAGATTTCCAGAGTGTAACAGAATGATAGGCTAGACTGGCATGTAAAAACACATCATGGAAGAAAGCAACAGCAAGCCACATATGTACTCTTGTCAAGAAAACTAGAGAATCTAAGCTTGATCAGGGTTTTTATCTTCCATCCTCGTTCTGAACTCAGTTCCCCAAGTCTTCTTGTAGTTGAGGGGAGGGTGCAAAGATATGTAAATGAAGACCAAGCTTGCTCAGTGGCTACAAAAATACAGTGATAACTCCCTGTTCTTAAGAGGAATAAAAAATAAGGAAGGTAATGGAATGGAGCACTCTAGAAGAGGGCATGGCTGTCTTCAAACCTGACAAGAAGTACCCAACCATGCAACATTTTGTTGCAATTCTCACGCCTTGTATGCAACATGCAAAGTCCACAAGACAACAAGAAGGAAGAGATACAGGTAGTCCTCGACTTACAACAGTTCATTTAGTGACCATTCAAACTTACAATAGCATTGAAAAAAGTGACTTAAGACTGTTTTGTGTCCTCTGTGCTTTTCCTGGCATCCTGGCTTCAGCCGCAACGAGCAAGATGACATTTTCTAAAGCTAATTAACAGGGAGTCGTTAATAAGAGATTGGACAACCATTTGTCTGCAATGCTATAGGGTAGGGGTCCCTAACCCCTGGTCCGCACAAACAAGCAAAGCCCCATTTGTGCGCTGCCTGCATCCCATCCGTGGGATGCAAGCAACGCACAAAATCACACACTCTTGAGTCTGTGAAAAAACTTTTCTCCATGGTGCCCCAAAGGTTGGGGACCGTTGCTATAGGATTTCCTGCCTGAGCAGGGGATTGGACCAGCAGACCTCCAACTCTGTTATTCTGTTAAACTTCACCAAGCTGCAGATCAACTGAATGAATCCCTACAAAATTAACCTGGAGGTAATATTGAATCCAACAGAAGACTTTAGGCCTTGATAAATTATATGATTTTCCTCAGACGAGGCTGACTTTATGAGATTTCCTTCCATAACGTAATGGCTTTTACTTGTGGGGTGCCACAGGAGTCCAAAAATCTGTTAAAAGAACAGAAATATTATCATTTTGCATTTTCCAACAGAAGAGAATATATGTAGCTCAGAATTGAACCGAGTTTGGTTGTTTGCTTGCAGATGTTTCATTATTTGATTGGGTAACTTCATCAGAGCTTCAATGTTGTTACCTGGTTAGATAATGAAATGTCTGCAAGTGAACAAGCAAACTCAGGTAGCACCAAACAGTTCACATACTGCATTCTGGCAGGGAGAAATTAAAAAAAAAAAAAAAAACCTCAATCCACAGGTTAGTTGATTACATTCAAGCATTACTTTGCTAAAAAAAAAATAGTGTTAATGAATCTGGGTTTGAGCCATAGACTGATAATGGTCAAGAATGTCCTTAAAAATGGCATCTACACCACCAATAACATTTGTTTAGGAAATTACAGGTTGATGGCCAAACCAATTGTTTCTTCTTCCTAGGATCATTGCTTTCCTTCTAGGAGAAGGATAGGATTATAATGTGTTTGTGTGTGTGTGTGGGTGGTGTAACAACAAAAAGTAGGGGCTCTAGGACATGAAGAATGATAGAACATGGCTTCTCATACAGCAATAAATCAGATTAAATAGTATAACTTATTTTAATACCTTTGTACCCAGAGTATCTTTTAATTTGCTCCAAATACATTTTGAAACCCAAAATCAATGTTGATTTAAATATGCTTACAAGCTTGGGCATGTTTGGCATAAGAAATCATAATCATAATCCTGGCTTCTAACTAATGTTAGTGTGGGGGTTAATTTTATTTGTATGTCTGTGAAAAATGAAGGAAATTTTGAGGTTTGTCCACCAACAACTTTTCTGTTCATAGTAAACTAAGATAAACTAGAAATTATGTCATGGTGGAAGTGGCCACGGAGTTCTAATAGACAAACAGTAGTATATCTGAAATATGTATAATACACAATGTGATGAAAAGAAATTGACTTGCTTTGTTAGCTGTGCTGAATCCAAATTTCGGTCTGATGCAGCTCTGTAGGTCTTTTGTTTTCAAAACAGTATCCTTAGAGACAGCATAGGTAACCTGACAGCTCCCAGAAATGTCCTCCTAAACAATAAAAATGGGTATACAGTGATTAAATTAGCAGATGTAACATTAGCCCGTGACATAATTCAAACATCTGTTTTATTTTGTTTTTTAAAGATTTTACCTGTGAAATTTTGGCTATTTTACATGCACTGTGTTAGATCGCTTCTTATAAAACAGATTCTTCTGGGTTGAATTTATATTAAATCCACTTCATTCCAATGTGTTCCAGACTTAGAGATTCCCATAAAAATGCAGGACTGCCTGAAACCGTTTCTCTAGAATCTGGAAATAGTTGTCCTTGCTTTTAAAAATAAAAAGGTATCTGAGAAGGGTAAACCAGTTATGACTTTTTTCTGTATGGAAGGGCAGGAATTGCCCTGTGATCTCATATGTAATTTTAGGTACTTCTTTTGTCATTGGAATTAGCAATACATTTCTATGATAAGTGCTGTTTATTCAGTGTTTAGTTTTCTGTTTCTGGAAGCATAATCTACAATGGTTATATTGGTTTACTCTTGATGAGTTTGCCTTTACCCTAGCTGTGGTTTATATATTTGTTGTCACTGCTTGTTTCTGCTTTGTGCTTTTTAAAAATATTCTTAGCTGTGCAGAGTAATGAATTTAAGGAAAGTAGCCATATAAATGGAAATCATTCGACCAAATAAATGACCATTATAGATTAGTATTGTTCAAATCATCATGAAACTTGCCTAAACCATAATGCCTGACTTATTTCAATGTACGAAAACACTTTTTTAGCCAAGAGTGGTAGATTCAATATTCAGGTAAAATTATGGTAGTCCTCAATTGATAACCAGACATATGACTTACAAAGTTATGACAGAGCCTTGAAAGGTACTTATAACTCTGTACCAAAGTTCTGAGACCCGCCCTCCATGGTCATGTGACTTGAAAACGAGCCTACGTTTACAATTGTTTGCAGCATCCTATGGTCACATGATCATGATTTATGACGTTTTTGCTGAAAACTAGCATTTACTTCCAACTTTTGACAAAAACACCCCATAGCAAACAATGGGTTCCCTTAATCACTACAGACTCATTTAATGATCAGGGCGATTTGCTTAATGACTGCTGTAACAAAGGTCATAAAATCGGGCCAGTGATGTGGTGACCTGCTTTATGACCATTATGACTTATGATTGTAATGGGCAAGCTCCATTATGGTTGTAAGTTTAGGACTACCATTTTTAGATAGATGTCAGAATTGCAGATGCTATACAGTTCAGTGAAACCTTATATCAGACATGTCAAACACAAGGCCGGATGCAGCCTGCGAAGTGGTTTCATGTGGCCCACGAAGCCATCCTGGAAACAGTGAGGGAACGGCCCCCGCTGCCTTGGCCCTGGCCCAGGCTGGCCGGGAGCCAATGTACAATTTTGTGATGGCCATCTATACTGAAATGCATTCAGTCTTAGCTCCACAAGGCCGTTTAGAAATAGCAAGAAACCAGCCCCTGCTGCGTCAGCCCCGCCCCCTGGGTGCATGCTGGGGAGGTGTCACCCTTTGTGAGGAATGAAGAAATGGACCATGCCTTGGCGCTTGCTCCGGTCCCACCCCCCTTCTGCCAGAGACCCTCAGATCTGTCCCACTCCTGCCCAGGCACCCACAGGCACCCTTGACGCGAACAATGTAGAGCTGGCCATGCCCACCCAGTAGGCCACACCCACTCTATCCACGCCCACCCAGTAGGCCACACCCACCCTGGCCACACACTCCTGCCCCCACCGAGGGCAACCACAATGCTAATGCGGCCCTCAATGAAATTGAGTTTGACACCCCTGCCTTATATTGTACCTCAGTCATTGTTCCAGAATGGATCTGAAACTGGAGAAGGCTGAGAAGACCTCGCTTCAGTTCCAAAATTAAAGGGTTCTCTTCTTTGGCTACATAGAAAGCTTCAACCTGCAAGATAAAGGTCAGTTTTTACAGGGAAAGGTCAGCTTTTAAAGCTTGGGAAAGAATAACAAAGTGCACAGGAGATTCATGGCAGAAAGAGGCTTTCTCAATTCACTGTGGTCATTCCCTTCCTCTTTCTGCTCCCTCCCTGCGTTAGAGGGGTTAGGTGGGAATTTCAGGACCTATCATCTCAATTCAGCTGGAGGGCAACTGATTGGGGAAGATGAGATGAGAATATGGAGCAATTGATGCATTTGGTAGTAGCAGAATCCAGGAGCTGCCTATTGATATCAATCTTACTCCTATAAAAAAAGGGCAATGCTTGTCCATCTGAAAAAAGGAGTGCCCTCTTACTAAGCACCGTAACATTTTTGTGTATTGAAAGCTAAGATCTCAATATGCAGTCAAGGGTGGATGCCCAGAAAAATATGCTTGAACACAAAACTGAAGGGAAAACAGCATGTAAACAAGTCTGAATGAAAAGGGGCCATCAGCAGTTTGTAGGCAGAGAAATATTTACATACCTTTCCCTTATTCCAATGGAGGAAAAATGGTTGCTGGACTTCGGTAGCGTTCAGTGAGCCTTTTACAGAATGGCCTTTGCTAGTCTGATCCTTCTTTTCCAAATCTTGATTGATGCCTAAGTCATGGAGCTAAGTCCCCCAAATGGGTAGAATAAAATCGGGACACTTCAAATCAACAATGTGCATTAAGAGGTGAAAACTGTGTCATAAAGCAGTATATAAGAATACAGTTTCGAGCAAGGAGGTAGATCAGATTTTAAAAGGAAAAGGAGAACTATAGTTGTATTTAGTCTTAGATGTAGTGTAGAATTAGGCCACAAATAGGCGAAGTGGTGGCACAGAGGCTTAACGATGCTGGAACTGCTGACCAGAAACGGTCCACATGCCAATGGTTCGAGCCCAGCTCTGTGAGATGGAGTGAGCTCCCATCATTCGATCCCCAGCTCCTGCCCACCCAGCAGTTTAAAATCATGCAATATTGCAAGTAGATTAACGGGTACCATTTCAGTGGGAAAAACCTAGCTGTGTTTGTATGTGTGGGTAGCAGAAGCTGGCACTGGACCTGGCTGAACACGAGGCATTGTGACATGAGGTGAGGTGAGGTGAGAATGGCAGAGGAACCCAGAAGAGCCAGCAACACGAACGCCATTAGCTAGCTCAGTGGTTCTCAACCTTTCTAATGCCGCAACCCCATAATACAGTTCCCCATGTTGTGGTGACCCCCAACCACTTATACATCACCGGGTGCCAGGGGCGTGGCCAAAGAAAAGGGGGAAAAATGGCGGACAGCCTTGTTTGGTGACCCCCGTGAAATGGTCGTTCGACCCCAAATGGGGTCCCGACCCACAGGTTGAGAACCACTGAGCTAGCTGGTGTAAAGTTGTTTGCCTGCCCGTGGTGCACCAAGGATAGGCCCGCAAGCGCTGAACAGCATGAACTAGCATTCTAAGCTGTCAGGATTGCATTGTGTGTCTAGCATGTGTAGATTTCCCTGACACTATATGCCATATGTTAAATAAATAAATAATGTTAGGCCACAAATGGTTCAGTCAGAAGCAAGATGGAATGCTGGTATGGAGAACGATCCAAGAGTGCTCATCTTGCAATGATTGTGTTCTCATTTCTTTCTCCTCTTTTTCATCAGTTAAATACTGTGTCATTGTGACAGTGTGTCACCACTGTTCCATTGAGAAGAGTTTTATTATTACACTTACTTTTATAAATGATTTAGATTTGCCTTATACATAATTTGTTTACATCAAGATGCTGACCTGGAAACCAGGAAACTGTGGGGTCTAGTCTGACCTTAGGCATGAAAGCCAGTTGGGTGACTTTCGGCCAGTCACTCTCTTAGACCAACCCACCTCACTGGATTGTTGTTGTGGGGCAAATAGCAGGACGGGGGAGTAATATATATATTTGCTGCCTTGAGTTACTTACAAAGTAATAAAACGTGGCTTAACATTTTAATAAATAAAAGCTAAGTCTTGCTTTTTTGTCAAATAGCTCTTCAGAAGACTAGCGCTGACAGGAAGAAATGTATCATCTGAGTAGAGTTAAATAAAGTTGAAGGGTCTATAGCAGGGGTCTTCAAATTTGGCCCTTTTATGACTTATGGACTTCAACTCCCAGAATTCCTCAGCCAGTGTGCCTGGCTGAGGAATTCTGGGAGTTGAAGTCCACAAGTCATAAAAGGGCCACATTTGAAGACCCCCAATCTATAGAATGGCCATATCTTCCACAGAAGCTGAAAACCAAGAAAGCAGAAAAGCAGAACTAACTTGGATTTGGAGCAGCTGTTCGCCTGCATTGTCGGTGTTGCTCCACAAGAGATTCACATCAACCACAGCTTCTGCTTGGAGCTTGCTTCTTTGCAATGTTGGCCTGGATAGGAAACTTAGTTGGCTGTCTAGTGAGTATCGGTACTGATAGAGAATTCCTGAGCTGAAAGAAAGTGTTTTCAAGTTTCCTGAAAAAAAAAAGAAGAGTCCCATGCTGATGTAACTTGGAAGCTTTTAAATAAGATATTGAGTCATTGATACTATCAATGATATATGATCATTGAGTCATTGAGTCATTGATACATGAGAAAAAACTGGTTAGCTGGATTCACTAATTTTAGTAAGCCATGTTTTCTCTTAATCATACGTTTATTGAAAAAGCTGGATATGATTGGCTTCACGCAAAAGCTAACCCATGAACAAGCATTATGGCATTAAAACACAACATATACATTTTAACATAATGTACTCAGCAACATAGCTTGTTGGAAGAATGGCTGAAGTCTCCTGTAACCTAGTTTTGTGTTACTTCAGAAACTATGTATCAACATTTTACTGTGAAATCCATGCTGAATGCAATGGCTTCCCTAATTACCATCAATAACTATTTAGTTTTAGGAGAAAGTAACACAGATACAGAAAGAAACAACCAACCCTTAAGTGTCTCTAAGTCAGGGGTGTCAAACTCAATTTCATTGAGGGCTGCATCAGCATTGCGGTTGCCCTGGGGGGCCAGGTGGGTGTGGCCAGGGTGGGCATAGGCAGTAGTGCAGACTACTGGGTGGGCGTGGATGGAATGGATGTGGCCTACTGGGTGGGCATAGCCAGCTCTACATCATTCGCATCAAGGATGCCTGTGGGGGCCTGGGCAGGAGTGGGACAGATCTGAGGGTCTCTGGCAGAAGGGAGTGGGACTAGGGCAAGTGCCAAGGCATGGTCCACTGCATGAGCCTCACTATTCCTCTCAGGCCATGTGTGGGGGGGAGGGCTGAATGGTGGCATAGACTGCCTGGAGCCTTGGGCAGCAGAGGTCAAATGCCCAGCCTGGCCCTCAAGCACCCATGGCACCAAACCCAGCCCCACTTCCCCAAGGGTGTGCCCAGGTGCACTTATCTCCTCCTCAAGGCTGCTGCTGCTATGCTTGCTCTCCTTAGCCAGGTTGCTCATGATGAGTACCAGGGCAAAGTCAGAGGGAGGCCCATTCCCTCTCCATGGGAGGAGACCCGGCTTTGTATCCAAAGCTTCCTTAGCAATAGGATGGGAGACCCCCAGGATAGACCAGGAGGAGGGGGCAAGGGGATGGTGAAAGGGCAGCAGGGCAGGACTAAGGCAGGAGTTCCCTCAGACTCTTCCTCTCTTTCCTTCCTTCCTTCCTTCCTTCCTTCCTTCCTTCCTTCCTTCCTTCCTTCCTTCCTTCCTTCCTTCAAGTATAGAGTGGTGGGAAAATATTTGAGATAAGGGAGGGAGAAAAACAGACAAGAAACAAAGCTGGAGAGGTGTCACTTTTCGTGAGGTATGAAGAAATGCACCATCACCTGGAAGTAGCCAGCACATGGCCCTCACCTATTTCACATATCTGGCTTGGTGGGCTCTAGAGAGGATGCCATGAGCAGCGTGAGAGTCAACATTACCTGCACAATGCCACCCAGCCCCTAGCCTGCCCAGTCTCAGCAGGCAACAGGGTGCTCTCCTCACAGTGCTGAGAGGTTGAGCCGGGCGGTGCAAAGCTCGTCAGCTTTGCACTTTGCTGCCTCCTGAAACTGGGCAGACTGGGGGCTAGACAGCATTACATTTCTCATTAGATTCGTGCCACCCGGCTCAGCTCTTGGCGCTGTGAGGAAAGCGCCTCGTTGCTTGCCGAAACCGGGCAAGCTGGGGGCTGGGTGGCCTCCCACTTCTTTTTGGATTTGTGCCGCCCGGCTCAGCTTCTTGACGCTGTGAGGAGAGCACCTTGCTGCCTGCCGAAACCCCTCCCTTGGAGCGCATCAAGCCGGATAGGTGAAGTAGGCGAGGGCCATTTGCTGGCTACTTCTAGGCGATGGTGCATTTCTTCATTCCTCACAAAGGGTGACACCTCCCCAGCATGCACCCAGGTGGCGGGGCCAACGTGGCAGGGGCTGGTTCCTCACTGTTTCCAGACAGCCTTGTGGAGCTAAGACTGAATGTGTTTCGGCATAGATGGCCACCACAAAATTGTACATTGGCTCCCGGCTGGCCTGGGCCAGAGCCAAGGCAGAGGGGGCCGTTCCTTCACTGTTTCCAGGATGGCTTCGCGGGCTACATGAAACCACTTCGTGGGCCACATCTGGCCCCTGGGCCTTGTGTTTGACATTTCTGCCCTATAACATTTCAGACAAGTGACTGTCCAGTCTCTTCTTAAAAGTCTCCAGTGATGCATCCACAACCTCTGAAGGCAAGCCATTCCATTATTGTTCTGCTATTTTGAGCTAATTAGCTCTCATCAGTCAGCCCTACCCTGAGATTCGAACCTGGGCTGCTTGCACGTTAGGCAGCTGTGTTGATACACACACACACACACACACACACACACACACACACACACACACACACTTTTATTTTTTATTTATAGTAAAAAATACATTTTTAAACTATAATAAGTGCCAATGAATTCAGAAGCGAGGTCTGGTAAGAAGGCATGTAGGGGGTTGCACAGCATAGCTTAACACTTTAGGTGTCATTTGTCATCATTCGAAATCCTTTAATTTGATTTGGCCACATCAGTTTTATTTTTCAACATTGGTTGAGACCAAACAATACATTTCGGTCTCAGGGTCCCTTTAATAAATTAAACATTTAGCTTTATTATGCAATGATGCAATTAGGTATTTATAATTTCTCTGAAGCCCACCTTTTCAATGCTCTCAGTTGTTAATTAGCATTTCAATTGGGGGTTTAGGTTTTTCAATTCTATACAATGTCCACAGCAAATCGTGTTTTTGAAGTATCAAAAATAATAGTCACAGAAAGCAACACATGCTCAGAATTTGCAGCACTATTCAGAGGCAAAGCTTTTAATCCAGGGATGTGAAATCAGAAACATCCTTTTTTTAGATCTTACATTATAGAGAGTGGCTGGCATCAGGGGTTTGGGGTAAAAAAAGTGACAATAATTTCCCACAATGTCCAATTTCCTCTTGTGCCCTAAAATAACAATGTTCTGTCTCTTACCTTCTGCTGTAGCAGCTAAGAAAAAGAAAAGCCACCAAGTGTACCGGGAAGCTGCCTGCAACTTCATGGTGTGTTTTGCTGGTGCAAAATTGAGCACACCAATGGGCAACGAATCCAGCCAGGAGGAGGGCAGTGAGGTTGTTCTTTCAAAAGAGACTCAGCCGAACTGAGAGTAACATATCATGTGGGCACAGCCCAGTCTTGCTTCCTATCCCCAAGTTACACATCACAAGGAAAAGCAAATTATTAATAGCTCATAGCCAGTTAAATGAAAAAAGGAAGTATCGAAGGGAGAGAGAGAGAGAGAGAGAGAGAGAGAGAGAGAGAGAGAGAGAGAGAGAGAGAGAGAGAGAGAGAGAGAGAGAGAAAGAGAGAGAGAGCTTCAAATCAAGATAGGTTTGAAACAAAGTGATTTGGGCTCTCTTAGAAACTGTGAGTGTCAATCAGTCTCTCTCCTGAATGGGCCCTTTTTATTCCTTGCACAACCATTGAGACTGCTCCCCCCCCCTCTCCTGCTTTCATCCCCTTCTCTGTCTCAAGAGGGGAATTGACATGGAAACTTTGTAAGCTGTAAAAGGAGGCCTCTCCTTCCCTGGTGTACACGGGGAAAACTCCCTGTGCCTCCCACTAGAATTTAAAAAAGAAAAGGGATTTTTGCAACAAATGCTTTCAGGGAGAAGATGCCATCCCACCAGCCCAGTCCAATACATTTCATTATATCTTCTGCAAGCATTTTTTTTTTTAAGCCAGGGAAGAACAACATACGATTTTCCCTTGACATGTATCCTCCATAAAGGTAGGCCTTGACTTATGACCATGATTAAGCCAAAATATCTGTTTGATAACAAGACAAGTGTTTGTGAGTTTTGCCCCATTCACGATTTTTGTTTTGCCCCAATTGTTAAGCAAATCGCTGTAGTTCTTTAAGTGAATCATGCAGTCATTACGTGAATTTGGCTTTCCCCATTGACTTTGTCAGAAGCCAGCTGGAGAGGTTACAAATGGTGACCCCATGTGAATGTGACAGTTGTCTAGCGCCTGAACTTTAATCACATGACCATGAGGATGTTACAACAGTGGTGTGAAAAACGGTCATGTCACTTTTTTCAGTGTTGTACCTTTGAACAGTCACTAAACCAACGGTTGTAAATCAAGGACTATCTATGGTCACTTATGTTGGCTGATGCTGGCTCTTCCTCCTTCTCCAAATTACTTCATTTGGGAGAAATAAATTTGAGGCAGTACAATGCAGAGTTCGGGGTTTTGTGTAGCATGTTTACACATTTTACTAGAGGAAAGTTGTGTTTGTCTACGAGGGCAAATCATCTGAGTGTAGTAGCACTTTTTCTAACAAATTTATTAAAAAACATAAGCAAATTTATTTTTTTGGGAAAAGGTGCTCCCAGATTCCTTCTGGTTGTTTACATACCTTTCTGATAATAGCTGGTTCTTTTAATCACATTAATTTGCCAAAGTAAGATTAGGAGCTTTTGCTGCCCAATCAAATTTATAAAGAAAAAATAAATCTCTTTGTTAAACTTGTGCAAAATGTTTCAGTCTTAGGGACCCAGATAGAATTGATGTTTAATTGTTTTGGTTTTTAAAAATATTATTTAAAATACAAATAGTCCTCAACTTATAACCATTCATTTAGCGACCGTTTGATGTTACAACAGCACTGAAACAGTGACTTATGACCATTCCTCAGACTTACAACCATTGTAGCAACCCCACGGTCACAGGGTCAAAATTTGGGCAACTTAGCAACAAATGTATGCACTTATGACAGTTGCACTGTCCCAGGGTCATGTGATCACCATTTGCAACCTTCCCAGCCATCTTCTGACAAGCAAAGTCAATGGGGGAAGCTGGATTTGCTTAATGACCATGTGGTTCACTTAAAAACTACTGTCAATCACTTCACAACCATGACAAAAAAGGTCATAAAATCGGTACAACTCAACTTAAAACAGCCTTGCTTAGCAATGGAAATTCTGGCCTGAATTGCGATTGTAAGTCATGGACTACAATACTGGTATAGTTTTATTGTTGTTAGTTGCGAAGTCGTGTCTGACCCATCGCGACCCCATGGACAACGTTCCTCCAGGCCTTCCTGTCCTCTACTATCTTCTGGAGTCCTTTTAAGCTCACTCCTACTGCTTCAGTGACTCCAGTCAGCCACCTCATTCTCTGTCGTCTCCTTCTTCTATTGCCCTCAATCTTTCCCAGCATTAGGCCCTTCTCCAGTGAGTCCTTCCTTCTCATTCAACTTCAGGATCTGGCCTTCTAAAGAGCAGTAGGGGTTGATCTCTTCTAGGACTGACCAGTTTGATCACCTTGCAGTCCAGGGGATAGTTTTAGTTTTATACAAATTTTCAAGGTGGAGATGAAAAATCTTTCTTCCCGCCTAGCTTCCCTCCTGTGTTCATTATTTAGTTTTGTGTGACAAGTATATATAGCACTGGCTAGCTTGCTGTGTAATTCTCACAACCTGAAAACTCCTGGCCTTCCATATGACCTGGCTGCATTATGTTGGAGTGGATATAAGATGCAATTCAACATTGTCTCTTGCATTTGCTTGATCTTCGGTAACTCTTGATAAATCTTTCCATGGCCAGAAAGCAAACTGACTTTAGGAGCCAAAACATTTTTAACACTTCATTTGCTAAGTCTGATCATCATAATTGTGGCAGGACATCAATCCAGTACATACATAAATAAAATAAAGGCAAAGATATAAAGGCAAATTCTGTGAAATACATCCTACCAGCATTCATCAGTAATTTGCCAGAAAAGTTGGGTTTTTATTATGTTAGTTCCTTTTTATTACCTTTTCTACCATTTACCACTACAGTAAATATTAAGATTTATTAGGACAGGATATAGGATGCTCAGATTATAAACAATGTATTTGCTTTTTAACACATACAGTATTATGAATATATTAACAGTATTACAGTAGAAATACTTTCTTTCCATTTTGATTGTTTTGGTTCTTTTCCCTTACTTTTTGTGTTTTAGAGATTTTGGCTGAGAAGTTGACTTCATTTCACTTCATGGGGTTTAGAATATTTTGGTAGTCTTTACTCTAATCATAATTCTAAAAAAAAAAACGTGTTCAGTTTTCTCAATTTTCGAGGCCTCTGTTAAAAATTTGCATTAAGACTCATTTCAGTTTTCCCTGTGCTCTATGGTAGACTTATGCTAGGCCAGGGGTAGGCAACCTTGGCTCTTTTATGACTCGTGGCTGGCTCAGGAATTCTGGGAGTTGAAGTCCACGAGTCATAAAAGAGCCAAGGTTGCCAACCCTGTGCAAGGCTGCCACAAAAAAGAGGGGTGGTATCAATCTATGCTGAGGATTACCGTGCTCTTAAATAAAGAGTATTTCCTTTTTGTTGCATTAAGCAAGACATGGCATAAGATCATGCAGACAAATTTATTTCAACTAAATTTTTTCACATTCATGACCTTGATGGTAGTTGGTTATTATGGAATCTATGGAGAAGACCAAGGCAGGATCCAGAGTGGACTCATGATGGATCATTGTGATCAAACCCTGTAACCACTACTAAATTAGAACATTTATCCAGTATACTATCCTATTCATAATTTCAGTATGGATACACTAAAATTACTTTTAGTGGAAGATATGACCTTAAAGTACGTGTGTATGTGTGTGTATGTATTTTGGGGTCAGCATACGGGTGTGTACAGCTACTTTGGTCCTGGCTGTTCTGCAGAACCTAGTATTGAGCAAAAGTAGATATGATGAAATATATGGGCCCAAGAAAATTAAGGACCTTGTGCTGTGGGGTGTGTGTTGGAGAGAGAGGGGGGAGGAGGGGAGAGAGGGAGAGGGAGAGAGAAAGACAGGGACACTGCTATTTTTCATGTGGAAAAAAGAAGTCCTTTTCTTCACCAATTTCAGATTATTCTTATGTCTCTGCTCCCATCTAGAATAGATTTTAGCTTTTAAAGTTTGCCTCCAATGGCTCCTTCAAAAATGAAAAACATCTTATTCTCTAATGCTTCCAAGCATGAAAATGAGAAAAAAATTCATATAACTTATCTGGTTTAAAAAAAAAAAAAAAAAGCAAAGAGGAGGTGAAGACTATCAGAAGAAGTTGTGGTTCATAGCTATGCCACTTGTAGGATTTGTGCAGTTCTAAAGAGCTCTAGATCAGAGGTCCCCAAACTTTTGGGCACCAGGGACCGGTTACGTGGAGAAAAGTTTTTCCACGGACCGGAGTGTGCGTGGGTTTGTGTGCTTCCTGCATCCCATGGATGGGGCTTGCTTGTGCGGACCAGTTGCTGCCATGCTGCGGCCTGGTACTGATCCACAGACTGGGGGTTGGGGACCCCTGCTCTAGATGATTAATTTTGCTACTTTATTGGTATTTATAGAAAGCGTTGGAGCATTTGCTAATTTTAGCCATGCATAGTACCAAGGTAGAAAATGCAAACAAACTGGTCCAAGTCAAAGATCACTTTGATTAGGTTAATGCTTTTGAACAAGGGCCAACATTCCTTTTATTTTTTCCTCCCAGAGGGAGGCTCTCTAAAAGTTAGACTTCGTTTGGAAATGAACTTACGAAAGGTTTTTTCTTTTTAAGCTCTACCACTCAGGATGCCATTTAAATTCAGTCAAGGTTGATAGGAAGAATAAAGTCACTTAATTAGAGCTCATATCATGCAAACTGAGAAATATTTGGCAAAACTTTCATTTTTTAACAGGCAATCAGATAGGTCAAAAAACATCTCTCAGCTTTTATGTCAAAAGATCCAACTGACCACAAAGATAAGGTTACATTCATACTTTCTCATGCTGGGTTAATTGTTCCTACAGTTCCTATTATTTCCAACCAGCTACTTCTGATAGGAGATAAGGGAAATTATAATTTATACTTGTGGATGGCCCAGATTAAAGAAGACTAACGGATCAGAGATCAGAGCACAAGCTGAAAGCCGAATACATTCCGATATGTATTTAATCTTCTGGCAGCTAAGCAAGCTATAGTTTCCAAAGTGTAAATCTTATTGCATAGCAGAGCTTGCAAGGAAAATGTTGGAGGTTTCAAATCCAATCTCATGGATGTCTATTGTGTCTACCCAACCTGGCATTACCTCTTGTTCTGATGTAGCTGCTTTGTAGTTACTGGTGGTGCTTCCTATTATCCAGGAGAGTATCCTAACCTAATCCTCATATATGAGATAAGACAAGTATCCTCAACTACCAGTTCATGAACTGCCACCAATCCCAGCCTGCCAGGAACTGGCCACACAAGTTAGTGAAGCCCCATCTGCACATGCACAGGATGCAGGCAGTGTGTGAAACCATGCCCTTCCCGGTCCATGGAAAACATGCTCTCCAAGGAAATGGGGAGGCCACTGAAATAAGAGGACCACAAAAAATGTTTTATTACCAGAGAATGAAAAAGTAAACATGAAATTTCTATAATCCATTGTTGTTGTTGTTGTTGTCCTTTTCTTCTTTTTCTTTCTTTCTTTCTTTCTTTCTTTCTTTCTTTCTTTCTTTCTTTCTTTCTTTCTTTCTTCTTCTTCTTCTTATCATCATCATCATCTCATGACAATGTGAAGTCACAGCTGCCAGTTCTTTAGCTGGGGTTGGCATTTATATGCATCAACCTCTCCCAAAAACCTAGGATCTCATAATCTGTTGACGTAATATATGTCTGGATCCAAGCAGTAGGGCTTTTCCAATTGGCAGATAAAATTTTATCAATTTGGAAATCCTGCAATATTTTTAACCTGCTCATTTTCAACTTCTTTTTATCAATGATATATTTTTCATTAGTGGCACAGCATAATCTGTAGAGATGTTCAATTGAATCATTTTGACAACTGTTGTTTTTATTGAAGAAGAAACTTCTTTAAAATGCAAAATAATCAGTGCTGCAAAGAAAAATCAAAATGCAGATCTATTGCTCCAGACAGATTACAAGGTGCTGGAAGTCCGTTACAAACTGCTCAATTTTTGCACAATATCTTCATAAAAGAAGAGATGGGGCACTGTTCAAGTTAAGGTTATAGATCATAATCTTAACAAAGCATATCTTGCCATGCACAACCTGAGTATATGCAAAAATGTTTAATGTATACAGAATTTCTTAACTTCTTCAGAGCAGTAATACAAGATACAATAGTTTAATTAGCACGTTCAGGAAAGAAATAAACAGGTTAGCACACAAACACAAATATTAAGCAGTCTGCCTTTCAATTTATCTATTTCTATAAATTATAGAAGATCCTTGAAAGGTTTAGGAATCTTGGAATCTGAATAAGGAAATCCCCATTAATATTGTTAAGACTCCCAGAGTTATTCTGTGGTAAAATGGGCAGCCAATAAATTGGATAAATACATTTAATAATTCATTAAGGTGCATTCTGGGAAGATTGTTTGAACTTCCCCTACTCCCAATTTGCATAATGAAGGACTAACAGCTCTTTGACCAAATAAAATTGAAATCACCACGTGATGTCCGTCATATTTTGAAATACTTTCTTATTTCTCAGACTCCAAGACTTTTCTTACAGTATCTTACAAATCTGTCTGGGTGAAATTCAGTACATCTTCCCTTCACTGGCATTCTCTACAAACCTTGTTTCTACAACACACAAAAAGCAGGGTAAGATGACATATACATTCCTGTCTGTATGCCGATTTGTTATTGTCTCGAATGAGGCCAATCACTGTTATATCATCTGCAAACTTCAATACTTTAACAGAGGAATCTTTTGAGATGCAGTCATTGGCATATAGAGAGAAATGGAGAGAGTACACAGCCCCTGTGCTAATTGTACAGGTATCCGGTGTTTTTTTTTCTTTAAAAAAAAAAGGTGCCGGAACTCACACATGTCATACAATCCGCCTTGCCTACTCTACAAAGTTCCATCCCAAAAAGGTGCCGGAACTCCGTTCTGGGTGTTCTATGCGAAAAAAAGCCCTGCAGATATCTGATGTGATTTTGCCTAGTTTCACTTGCTGCTTCCTGTCTGTTAGAGATCACTCACAGGTGTGATCAGGCACGGCCTGTTGATTTACTTTAGTGAGAAGAATATCTGGAATGATGGTATTGAATGCTGAACTGAAATCTACAAAAAGGACCCTTGCATAGGTCTTTGGAGATTCAAGATGTTGTAGAATGTAGTGCAGAGCCATATTAACAGCATCATCTGCTGATCTATTTGCATGATAGGCAAATTGCAATGGCACTGAAAAAAGTGACTAATGACCATTTTTCACACTTACAACTGTTGCAGCATCCCTTTGCTCCTGTGATCAAAGTTCAGAGGCTTGGCCACTGACTCATATTTATGATGGTTGCAGTGTCCTGTGTTCACCTTTTGTGATCTTCTGATAAACAAGGTCAATGGAGAAGCTAGATTGACTTAACAACTATGTTACTAAATTAATAACTGCAGAAATTTACTTAACAACTGTGGGAAGAAAAGTTGTAAAATGGGGCAAAACAACTATTTTACTTAGCAATAGAAATTTTGGGCTCAACTGTGGTTGTGAATTGAGGACAACCTGTAGTGTAGAAATTACATAGGATTTGGATGGATTGAGTGATTTGGAAAGTAGATCAGAAAACTAGGACTGATGATAGCTCCTTGTCAAGAATAACGAAGGTTACAAGCCTGGGTTTGCAGGCATGGAAAATGTGAAAATACATTACAGTGTCGTTTCCCAAATTTGCATTCTATGCGTTGGATTTCCTAGGTGTCTCAGTGAGAACTGGTGTGAAATTACATAATTGCATAATAGGAATGATAAGAAATTCCAATCAGAATGAAAATTCTGTTCAACTCTTTCTCTAGGGGTGAGTAGCCCCTGCTGAATTACAGCCATGAAATGGGTCTGTAACTTTTAATAAGCAGATTCAAAAAAGGCTGAAAGAAGTGGATGGTGGAAAGGGCAGAATAGCAGGTCACAATGACCTTCACAGTAGATAACTAGGAAGCTAAATACACATAGGGTTCCATTTCATTTGAGTCCCTGTTACACTATGAAGGACTTTGCCCAAATTATAATTTGGCTGTACTTTATTGAATGGAATCTTTCCACATCAGACAGACAGTTAAATTAGGAAGTTTCATAAACTCTGATTGGGCTGATGTACTGTTAGGTGCCCCGGGGTGCCTGCCAAAGAATCTGTGAATCTTTCCTTTCCATGTTCCTTTTCTTAAAATATAAAATAAGATGTTGGAATAACTAAATGATGCAAAAAAGAGGACATAAAGCTGCTATAAACTACTATGGAAGTAACCTGTAGCATCTGAAAGAACTGAAAGGTTGAAGTAAAGAAAAAAAATTAAGATGGGAATGGTAACTACAGGCAGTCCTTCACGTACGACCACAATTGAGCCCAAATTTTCTGTTGCTAAGTGAGACACTTGTTAAGTGAGTTTTGCCCCATTTTATCTTGCTACAGTTGTTAAGTGAACCACTTAAGTTGTTAAGTTAGTAACACGGTTGTTAATTGAATCTGGCTTCCCCATTGACTCTGCAAGTCAGAAGGTCGCAAAAGGTGATCATATGACCCTGGGACACTGCATCCATCATAAATATGAGACAGTTGTCAAGGCTCTGAATTTTGATCATATGACTGCAATGGTCGCAAGTGTGAAAAATGGTCATAAGTCACTTTTTTGAGTGCCATTGTAACTTCAAATAGTCACTAAAGGAATGTTTGTAAGTCGAGGACGACCTGTACTCGTTCAGAGATGACATCCCATTTCCAGAATCATTTTTAGATCCAGTAATACTTCTGGACCCTGAAAGGGACACGTTCACTTTTCACAGAAAATGAAAATGAGGGATGGATGCATTCCAACATTTTCTTTGGAAGTCTGCCCATTCAACTGGGGTGAGGAGATAAGGGCAGCCAGAATGATAAAGAGACCATAGATAAAGGCGAGGAAGAAGAGCGAGAAGCTAAGTTTCCCACTACAGAGGTTTTATGAATAGAAGACCCAATCTATGGACAGGCATTTTTTGAGAGATGCCCATCTGATGATCTCAAAATTCTGGATTGTCCACCAGTCAGAAATGGTTGAACATTGTATGATATCCACATTTAATTTCATTCCAATGGAAGATATTCAAGTGAGGAACCCTTAGTTTTTTCTCAATCTCCCCTCTGAGGTATAATCATGTTTTTCTTTAAGTTTTCTCAACTGTTTCAGAACTTTTGTTGAGCAGCAGTCATAGGTGTCTGCAAGCCAAAAAACTCAAGATAGCGATGCAATTCAGATTAAAAAAAGGGGGTAGGGCTTCTATTATGCGTCAAGATTGAAAAGTCAAGATTGCAGTTGCCATCTTGACATTTTGGACATTCTCCTGTAGACATCCGCCCAACAATTCTCATCACCAGAATTCACTGTGGCAACATCTCTTATTAAGTATTTAATATGCTTTATTAATGTTTGATAACTCCTCTCCCTCAAAATGTATGAAACTGAACAATTTATTATTCCAGTAATTCTCAATTTGACACTCTCGATTGCATTAAGAGGACAACTTCCAAAATTCCCAGCCATTGAGGCTAGAGCAATTTTGGGACCTGTAGATCCATAAATTTGGATGGCACCAAACTGCCAGATGAAGCAAATACGTTTTGTTTGAAATAAAAGAGCCACAAAGTATTTGATTGCAATATTACTTTTTATTGCTTACACAGCACATCTTACTTCTCAGTAATGCCTAATAGATTTTATGTATCTGATCTAATTTTTTAGTATATCTAGCTTAATTTCTTACACTCCAGCTACATAATCTGGCTTTTTCAGATCTTCTGCACACGAAAGAATGCTAAACCTACATCATAGATGGTGGCTTGTAAGTTAGCAGGGCAATAAAAGGTGGCTACTCTTGTGCTTATGCTTTGCTTGAGATTAGTCGATTCTGGAAAGAGAAGGTAGCATCTCTGCCTTCATTTTTAGCAATGTTTCTGAACATACAATGGAATAATTGGGAGGCAGGAAGATTGAGATGTCCAGTTTCTTCCAAGATCTGTGTTTCTCTCCAAGATTTTTCTGCCTTCAGATCCAGTGAGTGGTAACATGACAACAGAAAGAACATAAAATAGAAACAGAAGAACAAAATAATACAGTACTGTATGAGTTTTTTTAGCATTTCATGGATTTCATTCCAGCCATCTCCAGATACGTTGACCTATAAATCTCATAATTCCCACCCAGGATTCATGCTGAGAAAGATTTCTGCATTCTCTGTCACCACTGTTGTTCTATCATCACTGGCACAACTATGAAATTTTGTGCTCTTTTGAAAAAACATGCTCCCATAGGGCTGTTTGCAGAAAAATCTGGCTGTGTAAATATCAGCATTGCAGTAATCAGCATGGATTTAATATAAGTTAAGTGTTGCAACTTTGTACAGTAGGTCAACATTACAAAATCCTCAATTGGCTTACTAAAGATATAGCTTCCAGAAATGTTGGATTTTCCCCTTCATGCCAATACATCTACAATGGCTTTTTGGGTTGTTGTTCTTTATGTATAAAGGAGGTTTGTGAGCCATCTACTGGTGATGGACAATTGATGAGAAAATGTCCACAGTTTCCTCAACTGATTAGTCTTCAAGAGAAAGCTTTGGTTGCTAGTAGATATTTGCAATTTATAAGACAGAGGTGAATTGAGCTGGCTGTAACAGGTTCTCCACATATTTGACAATTAATTTTGGCACATAATTTCCTCTTTTGATGTAACAAATTCTTTCCAGTTTTTTCACTCTTACTCTCAACCTAACCGTTATTTCAAACTCTTCTGTCCACTAATATATTGTCAATAACATGTCCATATTAATCATTAAAATATTAACTATTGTGCCCAACTATGTAATCCTTTTTCTGATCCAACATTCTTATATCTGGTATGGTTTCAAAATATAAATATAGTTTCAAAATATAAATTCAAAAATATAAGAGATTTTTGGACTGGCTTTTGAGTACAGAATACAGAATTGAAAGGAACCTTGGAGGTCTCCTAATCCACCACCTGCTCAAGCAGGAGACCCTGTACCATTTTGGACAAATAGCTCTCCAATCTCTTCTTAGAAACTTCCAGTGATGGAGCACCCACAACCTCTGGAGGCAAAGCATTCCATTGATTAATTGTTCTCACTGACAAGAAATTTCTCCTTAATTCTAGGTTTGGTCTCTCTTTGTAAGCTTACATCTGTTACTTCTTATCTTGCCCCTCATGTACTAGATTAGATATCCCTGAAGGAGCAGAAATGGCATTGCAAAGTAATTTTGATAGCCTAGTTGTGAATTCTGGTTTACACAGTCTCTCCAGACAAAGAGAGATAGTGGGATTGCCCATCTGCACTTCAAGCAGCTACTCATCATGAAAAGACTGCAGGAGTCATAAAGTTAGGGATTGAAGGATTTCAAACAAGCTGACAGCTGTAATACAGCTTATATGGCGGTAAGATTTGCAAAAGCCTCACTTTCTTAATCATTATCAGATGTAAATATTTTACAGCTATAGAGAGATTTTCTGAGCAACAAAATAAAAAAAAATACACTCAGTGAGTTAGCATTGTTTCTGGAAAAAGAAAAAAAATCTAAATTTTCAGCAAAAAAGTTAAGAAGAATTGAATCTCTTAAAACAGTTAAAGGGAACAGTAGTTTTTGAAAAATTAAAGTTTGGTGAAAGTACTCTTAACATGTTAGAAATAAAGAGACAAATGAACCTGGCCTTGATGAGAAAGTTATTTGTGTAGCATTAAGCAGTGTAGAAAAGACCTTCACGTGCTGCTCCTCCAATGGGATACATGCCATGATCTGCCAGTATGCCCCCCCCCAATTCTATGAAAAATGGGACAAACTTTTCACAAAAGAATTAATCGATATATTTGACATCAGAAGCAAAAAAAGATTAAAATCAAAACATTTTACCTTCCCAGGAGATTTCATAACAGATGCCCATTTTACACAATAGAACTATACCAATATTAGAGTGAGAAACTGCCTAATTCACATATTCAAAATGTTCCAGGCTATTCAGAAAGTCTTAACCAACACAATAGGTTTTTAACTCATTACAATCATATTGACCTGTCATTTGCTTCATGCATAACCTGCACCTGCACACACACCCCTTTTCCACTCTGTACATCACCCCCTTCCTTTAAATCCTACATTGATTTAACCATTCATATGCATTTGGTGAAGTGAGCCGTAGCTAACAAAAGACTTCTAACAGAATTCATTAGTTAGAAAAGCTGCTACTACACTCTAATTTAATTCTTTCACTAAGAATAATTTCAGCTTTACCAGGAAGTTAGATGGCTAGAAGACTGGAAATCGCTTAATTTATCTTTCTTTGCTTTAACACACTGTCCTCACTTTCATTAGCAACCTTATCCTCATACAAGCAAAATTCAAGAACTTGTTTTGAAGACTCTAATCTTTGAATTTTGGAGCTATTTGTAGTTGCACACCTAGCAGCTTAAGACGCACTGGCTTCAGCTAATAATATATTATACCAACCTTCTAACCCTCCAAACTTGGTGCCCTCCAGAGTTGTATGAACTATAATTTTCAAGGTTGATAGCTAACAAAAAAAGTCTAAGCATTGTAATTGCAAAATATCTGGAGGCAGGCAATTGACACAATTAGTATACCCTGAAACTATCTCCTGTACAAATAGTTCAAGCTTCAGTATAGTTACTTCTCACTGAATTGGTTTCCTTCCCTCACACTCAGAGGTTGATGCCACTCCTTAGTAAAGTGGAGTTTTTAATGACATTTAATGACATTAAATTACATTTAATGAAACTTACTGCTTCTTTCTTCTCTGACTCAATAGTAGCACCTTTAGATCTTATGGCAGACTGCTTGCATTTTTCTCTTGATATGTCTGACAAAGGACCTTGTGAGAAGCAAAGAAAGAATGAGTAATCAGTAATGGATAAACATCAGAAGTACAAAAGAAATCTTTTGGCAAACATCTTCTGGGGTCTTTAGAAAAAAGACTCTCGAATATTATATTAGTCACCTATAGCAGGGGTCCCCAACCCTGGTCCACTGACTGGCACGGGTCCACAGCCTGTCAGAAATTGGGTTGCACAAACAAGTGAAGCCCCATCCGTGCATGTGCAGGTTGCAGGCACTGCATGAAACCACGGTCCCCTGGTCCACGGAAAAAACGCTCCTTACAGAATTGGTCCGCGGTGCCCAAATGGTTGGGGGCTGTTGATCTATAGAATTAACTGTTTTCCATAAGGGTCATTCCATGTCAAATGGTCTGGGGGTCCCTGCTCGACCATCATGGATTTTGATGAAATCTGGAGCAAAGTTGGCCGAAAATATGCTTTCCAAACTGCAGGCTTGGGATCCTGAACCAAGAAACCCACCCGTGGCTGGTGTTGCACGGCTATTGGGCGTGCCCCCTATGGCGATGGGGTTGCTGGTTCAAGTGCCTGAACTGGTAGTGACAATGTTACCGTGGACCAACGCAATATAATAATAGTAATGATGTTTATATAAAACAAACAAGACAAAAAAATAATAGAATACATGTGAAGTTGCCATAGCAATTTCCTCAACTTTGTCCCTATTTTTAGGGCTTTATACGTCAGCAATGAAAAACCAACCCTACTTTTTTAGGGGGGTTGAAATATTCTCTTTCTAATGAGAATGATTTAACAGAGTCTCCAGAAGGTCTTTTTTTGTAAAAGCAGACTGAAAATACCCTATTTTGGTGTTTTTACAAAAAACATCAAATTTATGCTCAATTTGTAAACTATTGTAAAGCAGTAGGAGAATGAAATTTTATATTTAAAAAGCTTGTGTTGCTAAGTTATTACATGCAAAGTTTCATGTTTATCATACCTTTCCTTCCAGAGATATAAAAAGCCAAACTTTAAACTTTTTTTTGAGCCACAATATTTTTGGCCAACTTTGCTCCAAATTATCTAGATGGAGATTGCTCATGAGAATGTGTTTATTATTTTGTTTTATAGAGCACAAAAAGTTGTACAAGATGGCCAGGTTTTGTTTCTCTCAACAAAATATTGCCGGAGATATTATGTCTCAAAGTTGCTGGAATCTCAGAGTCATACTGTAGAAGGCTGCAGTGTGGGGTCAAACAAATGACTATATCTCCGCAAGTATTGCATCGGCAAACGTAACACTTTACCAATATTCATTGGGGACATGTGTGCATGTTCACACAAAATTTCATCAAAATCCGTGATGGTCGAACAGGGCACTTTTTTGAAATCAGACCACTTGACATGGAATGACCCATAATTCATTTAAAATTGGGAAATATAATCAGAAAACTGTATCTCACTGATTTTAGCCATGTCATGCGGGGGAACTTACTGGAGAAAGCAATTATGCTTGGAAGAGTTAGCGCTAAAAGGAAACCAGGTTGCCCAAGAACACGGTGGTTGGACACCATCAAAGCTGACACCAGCCAGAGCATAGAAAAACTCAAAGAACTAGTGCAAGATCAGAAGACATGGAGAGACCTGGCCCAGAGAATTGTCAAGAGTCAGACACGACTGAATGGATATCATCATCAATCATCATCATCATCATCATCATCATCTATGTTAGTTGCAAACGTGCATTACTTAAGATATAGTCTTCTAAGGGAGAGCCAGAATTATAATTGAAATTCTTATAGACTGGTGAATTTACAAGAAGCAGTCTCCTGGAATGAATGAAACACACGCACACAGACAGTTGATTCTTTATGTGTCATCAAGTCAATAACATATACTGCACTCTTGGAGAAGGATCGGTCCCTAACCTTGTCCCTCAGGCCTTCCAATATAGATGTAGTCCAGTCATCCATCTTGTTGCTGCTTGTCTTCTTCTTCTTCTTTCCACCTTTTCCAACATAACTGACTTCTTAGGATACGCGCGCACGTGCACACACACACACACACACACACAATCTACTGTTGTGTCCTTTGTTATAAGGTCCACTCTTTTTGCATAGGCTTGCTTAGTTGACAGTCTTAAATGCATGGTGAGGCAATGTTGTTGTTTTCCCCAGCTTGGCTTTTTGCAGAGCTTAATGCTGATTTGGGACTAAGAGAGAGTGCTTGACCCAAAGCCAATCCATGAGCTTCCTTGCCTAAGGGAGAATAAGAATCTGGGCTTCTCCACTCCAATCTAGCACTTCAAATAATATACTCCACTGAATCTCTAGATAGATGAGACCCATCTAGAAATTAGACCTATGCATCTCAATCAAGTGCTGAACAGTTGGATGATTGGATAGACAATAAAAATTAAAGGTTTTACTACTGTTCTTACATTGATTCAAATACATGAAACATATCTGAAATATGTAAATCTGTCATAAAGGCTGTTAGCTTTCAACACATGACAGGTATGTTGCCTATTTAGCACGTGAACGGGCAATATTCTCCTATCTGAGCAATTTGGAAGATAAATTAACTGGTCAAGTTCAAAGGCCACAGGAGAAATGGTTAGTAGTTCAGTCTTGGGATGGGGGCCTAGAATGATTTAAAAATTCTTGAATGATAAAGAAAAACAAACCAACAAAACAAAATAGAGGAATTATGTTGGCAAAATGTGGCAATTTGCCTCTGCATGTAGGTGATACGATCTTGAGACTGCAAAACAGGTGTTGTGGATCACATATGGCATGTTGTTTGTTACTTTGCCAAATTTTGTTTTAACAAATCTGTTTTAATTACATTCCTAATGTATTTATAGTGTAGACAGCTGACAGAGATTCCTGCAAACCACTATATAGTGATATAACTGGGTAGAGAGAGGAAAGGAGCAGAAAGGAGTTGTGGTGGCACAGAATACAATCCTTAGCAGTTGTCAACTATTATTTCTAATTTACATTTTTTAGTGAAGAAATAATGGGAGTGGTTTGAAAAATAACAGAATAACTGAGTTGGAATGGGACAACTTGCCGCAGCCAACTCACTACGGCCTACTCACCATGGCCATTTCACCATGGCCACCTTGCTGCAGGACAACTTGTCACAGTCAACTCACCATGGGACAATTTAACATTTCAGTTTAACTATTTAAAATAAATGAAAAAATATTTTAATTTTTGTCATTCACATTTCATATTGTCCCTTCTTTTGCATCCTTTTTAAAAAAATGATTCTGTCCCACTATTTCTTTGATATTAGTGTAACTCTTGTCCCATAGCGAATTCTCCCGTGAAAGTTGGCCATGGCAAGTTATCCCACAGCGAGTTGGCTGTGTCGAGTTGGCCATGGCGAATTGTCATAGACCCCCCTTCAAGGTCTCCTAGTCCAAGCCAGTGCTTAAGCAGAAGCTGGATCCCAGATCCACATAAGCCAGTCCCAATCAGAGCACCCTGATTACTGTGTTATTCTAGATGTGTTGGATTGCCCATTATTGGGGGTGGTAGTCAGATTATACCCCATCCCTAAATACAGCATAAATGTTTCCATACTAACCTATTGAAAGCTTGGGGATTGGAATAGGCAGTGGATCACCAATTGGCATTTGGATTCCAGGCATCTGAATTTTTATCATTGTCTTCTCTGACCGTTCAGGAGCATAATTCAAACCTGCAAAATAAAAAATATGTCTCTAAACAAAATGTCAAAGAGTGTTGTGGATTTAAAATTGCATAAAATTCCAGGGATTATAGGTTGCTTCATCTGATAATCTTATATGTATACCAATCAGTATAGGGGAAAGAAGGGAGGAGAAGAAAGAGGGAAATGGTTAAAGATATAAGAGAAAGAATTACTGACAAATAGTGACTGTAAGCAAAGCTATAGTTAGGTGTGACACAGAAATTCTTGCCCTGCATTTGTGCGTTGTTTGTTTAATTCATGAGAGAAAGATGCTTGTTGTTAGTTGAGGCTAACACAAGTTGCAGCTCAACAACTTGGGACAAAAGACCTGAATTTACTTTTGAAACAAATCCAATAAGATCCAGATAATCCTTTCAACATTTATTGTATGCATAACCTTCTCTGTTTCAAATTCTGTAACCCTTGAATCCGTTTCAAATTCTGTAACCCTCCAGATTTGCTTTGAGATTTTACAGAAAGAATCTGGTAATACACTTTTCATCTAACAAATGTTATGAAAAGGCATAAGCTTTCATAAAAATTGTTTGGTTATCCAGAGGCAGGTTACATGTCAAGATAGATAAAATTCTCTTAATGTGTCCGGGAAATCTAGCTTCCTTGTGTCAGAGGAGAGCTGTGTTGGTGTATAATGGCAAAAAATCAAAAGTATGATAGCACTCTTTCCTCCTAGCAAATTTTATGAAAAGGCATGGAACTGCGACTACCAAAAGCTTATGTCTTTTCATAATTTTTTTTAATTAGAAAAGGTGCCACCAAACTTCTGATTTTTTTTGTTGTTATTGTGGTGACGTTCAGAATCATGCATGATCGATTCTAGAAAAATCTGCAGTCCATTGTTTGGCACAGAGCTTCAATTTTCAAGGACTACTTGAGGTATTCTCTATGGTGGTACAGATAGAAGCATTGGTGAAGAATAAAAAAACAAAAAATGATTATTTAAATTTTGCTATCCTTAAAACAGCCCCTCCTGTACCATCCTCTCTCCACCTTTTCTAATTTCTCCCCCAATTGTGAATTGCAAGCATATATTTGTAAAGTTGAGTCTGAGGGTTTTCCCCAATTTGAGACTTTTCAGAAAGAGGATTCTGGCATGCCCCCATGTTTAGAGGGAACAAGTAGATAAAGGAGGGCCTTGAGTCCTTCTCCATTTCTCTAGGCCTCCACTGCTTACTAGCCTAACATTCTTCCTCAGAAGCTGCAACATGTGGAAACACTGGTGTAGATTTATTTAAAAAAACAAAAACAAAAAACAACAACAAAAAAACAAAAAAAAAACACTTTATCCCACTTTGTTCCAATTAAAAGTGCCTTGTCAATACACAATTTTTCAAAAGTGTTGCAACATTGTATAATTATTATTTACTTTCTTTTTTAAATTACGTGCTCCTCAAGTTGTGCTTAACTTTTGGTGATTTCAGGTTTTCCCGGAAATAGTACAGAGGTGGTCTGCCTCTGCTTTCCTAGAGGAAATATTTTGATTTTCCATTTTAGTCTAACCGTCCTGGTATTCCACATCTGTCTCCCACTCAAGTGCTAACCAAATCACTCTGTGCTTAGCTTCCAAGCCCAAACAAGATGAGCTACATGCTGCCCCTTAGGTGTTTTTCTATTAAGTTACAGCTATATTATAAAATTCAGAGAACAAAAATATACCCAAAGTTTGAGGCAGATGTGCATAAGATGGGGGTACTTTGAAATACTTACTTTGGATATGGATTACTTGGTGAGAGTTGGTCAAAGAATGCTGTCTGAGACAACCAAATTGAGAAGAGATCTTCAACGAGTGAATATTGAACTGGCCAGGACAATCCAAGGAGATTTGTTTCAGCTTTTCGGCTAAGAGGGTAATATTGTCAGTAAATGGATTCTTCTCTATTTCACTTTCGGTCACCATAGCCTCAGTTCTTGAATTAAAACAAATAATAACAAGGTTGTTATATTCTATGATCCAACAGAAGTCTAAATTTCAGTTTCTCTAAGCCGAATGATTGTTGCTGAGGTTTAGCAACAACCCACATTGACATTGGCAATCTTTATGGGCTTCTTCCAAGTTTGTGTGGTTTATGGGTTGCCGACTGTTGGTCTTAAAGTGAAATTGTATTGACTAAAGATATAGTCTTCAGGGCTACCGCATTCTGAACTGAAAAGTATATAAACATATAAAATCAGCATGATTCAGCCATCTTTAAGCCCCATAAACCTTGACTTTAATCAAATATTTAATGCATTTCTGTTTTTTCTCTTTGAAATCAATTTTGAAAAAAAAATGAAATTGTTCCTAATCAGACCCTTTTCATTCATTAATTTATTCAATTTTAATACTGCCTTTATTACTTTATAAGTAACTTATTATGTCATGTTATTAATGTTATTACTTATTCATTTCAATGCCGTGGAATTCAGACAGGCTGATAGAATTTCCCCTCTAGAAAATTAACTGAATTATTTTTACTTCTCTCATCCTCCCCCCTGACAAAGGTTTTATTTCTGAAACTTGTACTTACCTAGAGAAAAGGACTGGAGATTATTTAAATGTTGTAGGAAAATGAGCGGTCTGAACGCTTCTGTGTATTTGCAATAAAGATTTAAAATCACAAAAGTTTGCTGTGGTTTTATGGGTAATTCTAGTTGCACAAAGCTGGAACCTGAGACACATAATGCTATCAGCTCCAAAAAATGACAGCTCATGATACTTCTACCGTTTTGATTGATGAACTTATTTACCACTGAAATCATATTTTGAAGATTTGCAAAACTGTTCTTGGTCCTTTGCTATTTCCGCAACATTAAAGTAATTGACAATATAAGCAAAAGTCAAACAGGTAGCTTTGTAAGGAATCATTGAAGCATTATATCTGCCTGATATTGGTTCTGTAGATTTGGTTTCAGAAGCAGAGAACAGGACAATAAAAACATTGCACTGGTTTGTAAAGAATGCACAGCTCAGCGTGACCTGGCTTGGAAATGAAGTTATTACACAGCTTCTTTTGTTTGAAAAGGAGCAAATCTTTGGGGTTAAGATTTGGGGGGGGGGGAGGGGAAAAGGCCAATAGGGAATAAATATCCTATTTCTGGAGAATGAGTGCTGTAAGTTGTCTTTGTCTTTGGAAGCTCTGATGTGGCAAATGGATTGCATGGAAGCATTCCTATTAATATCTGTTTTTGTTAAAGCTCCTGTTATAAAAGTGTCCCATATTACAAATCTATGAAATCACAGAAGATGGAAAAATAAATAAAAGTAAGATCTGCTGGTTAACAAAATACGTTTGGTTCCTTTCTCCTCTGTCACTAAACAGCAGTCCATCAGGCTATCTGACCTATTTCTCCTAGATATCAGAATGGTTATTAAAAGGAAAAGCACCTTATTATCTTCTCCCCTCTTTCTTTCTGATTTGGGAGTGTCTGAGTGGTCCAAAAAGCAAGATGGTGGCCACAATCATGAGATCAAAGTCTTGCTTACTTTTGATGTTTTGTGAGGAAGATTAAAAAAAAGGAGTGGGTTTTTGATTGCATACTTGTGGCCATCTTGGTTAGCCCCCACCCCCATGGACACTCATGTTTCTATTTGTTTTTCCTTATTCGTCATTTTTTTTTTAGATTGCAGGTCCAATTATAGTCCTTGCTAGGTGCTCTTGAAAGCTTTTGGGTTAAAGAGCAGACTAAAAAAGGTTCTGGATAAAATCAATACCTCTTCAGACACATTCATAGAATATGCGACTGAGGATCTGAATCCGTCATCTGAATTCTTATTGAAGAGCTGATTTTATGAAGCTGAATATCTATGGAGATTCTCGGTTATCCAGGTATGGTGGTCCCAAAAGTGCTTTTTTCTTTGAAGACGTTTCACTTCATCCTGGAGTGGAGAGACAATGGCTAAAATGATGACGAATGATGATACACACACATATCACAAATGTACGTACACATACACCCCGTATACACACACCTACGCCCAACTTACATATTGAATATAAGACTCAAATAAACTGCTGAATAGATAGAAGGAATGAAAGAGAGTACAAAGAGGCTTATGGTGGTGCTTTTTAACAAGTTCAAATAACTGTTTTGTCTAGTGCTGCTTTATAATTCAAATTCTTTTCAGCTGTACTTTTAGAAAGTGTTTAAACCAGGAGAAGTGGGTTCTAATCCTGCCTTAGGCACAAAAGCCGGCTGGGTGATTTTGGGCCAGTCACTCTGTCTCAGCTCAATCCTTCTCCCAAAGTGTTGTTCTGGGGAAAATAGGAGGAAGAAGGAATGTGAGGCATATTTGCTGCTTTGAGTTATTTATAAAATAATTAAGGGTGGGATAAAAATCTAATAATTAAATTATAATCTAGATGAACAAAAGGGAAGAAATTATTGTGTTTGTTATTTTTAATGCCATAATCATTAAAACCACAAAAATGCATGTCATGGTAGAGGTTGCTTGTACACATCAGCTTTGCAAGTCCAGCATTTCCCTTATTAAAATAATGCAATTATCTCATGACACACTCAGCAAAATTGGTGCCTTCTATCCATGAAGGGTTGAAATTCCAGCTTTGTTTTTGCATGCTATGTTTATTAAGAACAGGATAGAACAGAATTCTTTATTGGCCAAGTGTGATTGGACACACAAGGAATTTGTCTCCGGTGCAGAAGTTCACATTGTACATATAAACAGCAAGTAATAGGTCATAGGTTATAAATCACAGTTACAATCATTAATCATAAATTACAAACAACAATGGATAAATATTCTCCAATAGGAGAAGATAATAAGAAAGACTAGAAGATTAGACAGAGGAGAAATGAGACAGTGCTGTAGGAATTAAGTGTTCAGCAGAGTGATGGCATGGGGAAAAAACTACAGTAAAACCATCATAGTTGACCATCTCCCTACATTGACCATCTCCCTAAGTTGTCCTAATTTTCACAGACCATACATACACTATATGTACACAAACCAACCTCTCTTTACTGACCACCTCTGTAAGTTGTATCTTGACCACCTGGACCTTGAAACATGGTATTCATTTGCTCTCTGCAACCTGACCAGTTGAGTCTAATCTGCACCAAGAGCAAGAAAGTGAAATTGGTAGCAATGAATTTTTTCAAGAAGAATATCAAAGAATACAATATTTTTGACTTTGATTCGGCAGTAAAGATGACATCTTTAATGTTGCTGAGTGTGGACTCTTTTTCAAGGCGATGCCTGACAGAAGCCTTGTTATGAGGGGTGACAAATGTTAAGAGTGGAAAACTTTCTAAAAAATGTTTCAGTTTTGCTATGTGCTAGCTTGACCGGAGAGAAGCTAAAACTTTTGGTGATTGATAAATCGGCAAAGCCACTCATTCAAGGACCTACAGCCCAAAGATTTTCCCATCACCTGGAAATCTAACAAATCTGAATGGATGACCTATTTGAGTATTGATCGAAAAATGAAAAAGAAGAAACAATCTATTCTCCTTGTAGTGGACAACTGTCCTAAGCCATCCCCAGGTGAACCATCTTAAAAATATGAAACTTAAATTTTTGCCTCCAAACACTACATCAAATATTCAATCTCTTGACCAAGGCATAATCAAAATATTCAAAATTCACTACCAAGCCCAGCTTCTGCAGTGGGTCATTGCTAAAATGCAAAACCCCAACCCTATCCCTGACCCAGAAGCAATTTTCCAATCAGTATTGACTGAGGTACAACCCAGAGGAAAAGTGCTGAAAGCAACTGATGAAGCAGAAGAATTAAGTGAGGAGGACCCAGAAATTGCAGATAGTCATTTGCAGTGGAAAAATGCCTAGATATGCTGAGTGATTTCTTCACTTACCTTCATAAAAAGAATAAGAAACAGACTAAAATTGACTTTTTTTTTCCAGGAAGCATGATCAAACCATGAGAAAACAATACATACGTAAATGTATTGATTTTGTATGATACAGTATTGTGTGAACGATTTTTCTGTGTTTTCACTATGTGTGTTTCTGTATGACATTCTATAATATAAGCTGTACAATAAAATGAGGCACAGAGGGGGGAGGGAATTAGATGAACTATAGGATCCCTTCTAATTCCTACCTCCTGGGATTTAGTATTTACATTTATCTTTTGTTATTACTGGACTTGGATACGAAAACTTTATTATTTTGAACTTTGGTGTTGGAGAAGACTCCTGAGAAAACAAAGGAGAACCAAGAAAGCAAACCAATGGATCATCAAACAAATCAACCCAGAATTTTCAAGCAAGGCACAAATCACCAGGTACAAAATGTTCCTACTTTGAAACCCCTTACGTGACAACCCAGCTCTCTGGAGAAGGCTCTAATGCTGGAAAAGGGGAAAGAAAGAAAAGAAGAGGCTGATCAGCAATAGGTGGATGGATTCAGTTACGGTGATGGAGACATATTAGAAGACCATTAAGGACAGATGTCATGGAGGAAATCCATCCATATGGTTACTAAGAGTCAACCAGGACTTGATGGCACATGATCCATCCGTCTTATTAATTTACTAAATTTGTATGCCCTTGTACATCCATCCATAAATGTAATCCATCCATCCATCCGTTATTATAATTACCATTTAAGTAGGCTGCAGTTAAGCTAAAAGTGATGCAAATCAGCAAGCTCATGCAGGTAAAAACAGAAAGTGTGGGATATTTTTTCAAAACCCAGGAATGCAAGTGACCATCCCAGAGAAACTGTAGCTTCAGCCATTGAAACCTGCTCTCCTGGGGGAGGGAATTATGATCTATTCTAGCTAAATCCAACTTTCTGTTTGCAGGACTGGGCAATTCTACTTCCCAGAGCGTTTCTGTAAGTCGGTCAGGAGGATAATGCCCGTCATTCATCCCAGGATAAAAGGCTAGCCAACCCTCATGCAAAGTTTCAAAGACTTCATTGAAATTGCAGTGACTTACCTAGATTATTTCTTGGCATTACAGGCAGTCCTCAACTTACGAAGACAACTGAGCCCAAAATTTCTGTTGTTAAGTGAGTCTTGCCCCATTTTATGACCTTTCTTGCCACAATTGTTAAGTGAATCACTGCAGTTGATAAATTAGTAACCTGGCTGTTAAATGCATTTAGCATCCCCATTAATTTCGCTTGTCAGAAGGTCACAAAAGGTGATCCCATGACCTTGGGACACAGCAATGGTCATAAATGAGTCAGTTGCCAAGCATCTGAATTTTGATCACATGATCAATCGGATGCTACAAGGTCACAACTGTAAAAAAAACCAGTCATGTCAGAATCGTGCTCAGCGTTTTGGGCTGCGAAGGCAGCATTTTGGGTGGCAGAGGGCTGGGAGCCATTGCAGCTGGGAAGTTTCCTTCCCGTCCTGACCATCTTCAGAAGAGGAGGGGACGGTGTGCCCGAAAGAAGAAACGTGGCAAATGTGGAGGCCTAACATCTAGGCTAAAAGATAAACCATACAGAGTGTCACTTCCATCTATTTTGTTTGCAAATACTCACTCATTAGAGCCAAAAATGGATTACTTGAGGCTAGCTTTAACAACAAACTGGGAGGTGAGAAACTGCTGGGACATCATTGCAACAGAAACTTGGTTAAAGCCCTCTGTCCCAGATAGTGCTATTAGCTTAATGGGATTTTCAACATTTCGGCTGGACCGGAGTTTTGCTCTTAGTGGCAAATCCCGGGGAGGGGGTGTCTGTTTTTATATAAATGACAGATGGTGTAATAATGCCAAGGTGATTTCACATCTGTGCTCCTCTGATGTGGAGCTTTTGACCATCAAATGCAGACCCTTGTATCTGCCTAGGGAATTTTCTGTTATCATTATCATAGCTGTGTATATTCCCCCTGATGCAAACAGAGAAGAGGCCTTGAATGTTCTCTATCACACCATTAGTGACTTACAAACTAGTTACTCAGAGGGTGCGTTTATTGTAATGGGTGACTTTAACCAAGTTGATTTGAAAGCTACTCTTCCCCATTTCCATCAATATGTGGACTTTGCAACCAGAGGAAAGAAGACACTGGATCCTGCTTATTCTAACATCAAGAATGCATTCAGAGCTATCCCCTGCCTTCACCTGGGCCCCTCTGACCATCTCTCAGTGCTGCTTAATCCAGCATATAAACCTTTATTATTCAGAGTGAAACCTACAGTAAAGCAAGTGAGGGTTTGGGCAGAGGAAGCTACAGAAGCATTACAAGACTGCTTTGAGTGCACAGATTGGGGCATGTTTAAAGAAGCAGCAACTGATAAACCAACATATAAATGTTGAGGAGTATGCCATCACGGTGTCTGCATATATTCAAAAGTGCATAGAGGATGTCTGTGATCTTAAAAGCATTGTTGTGAGGACAAATGAAAAACCATGGCTTTTAAATCTGGCGATATGCTGGCATTTAGAACAGCCAGAGCTAATTTGAAAAGTGCCATAAAAGGTGCAAAGCCAGCCCACTGTCAGAAAATTCAGAACTTTTTTTAGGACCCAACTAACACCAGGTGCATGTGGCAAGGGATCCAGGTCATTATAGATTATAAGGTGGCTCCATCAAGATATAAAGATGACACAATCTTCGTAAACGAGCTGAATATATTTTTTGGCATTCCTGCTAGGAAAGCTGTGCCCCATCCTGATGAGCAAGTGCTAAGCTTTGATGTTACCTCTGTCTGGAAAACTCTGTGGAAAATTAACATTTGAAATGTAGCAGGCCCAGATAATATCCCTGGCTGGGTTCTTAGGGAATGTGCTGATGAGCTGGCTTGTGTTCTTATAGATATTTTCAATCTCTCACTGCAGTTGTCCCATTGTGTTTTAAGACAGCCATCATTTTGCCAGTGCCAAAAAAGTCCACAATTACAGGTCTCATTGACTACTGTCCGGTTACACATCCATCATTATGAAATGCTTTGAGAGGCTGATAAAGGACAGTATTGGATCTAGCCTCCCACCAGCATTTGACCTGCTTCAGTTTGCTTACCGACCAAATCGCTCTACAGAGGATGCTATTTCTTCTGTTCTTCATTTGAGCTTGGGGCACTTAGAGGAAAGAAATATTCATGTGCGTTTGTTGTTTGTCGACTTCAGTTCGGCATTTAATACAATCATTCCCCAGCATCTAGTAGACCAGTGATTCTCAACCTTTCTAATGCCGTGATCCCATAATACAGTTCCCCATGTTGTGGTGACCCCCAAGTGGGTGTGGCCACCAATAAGAGGGAGTCGGACAGCTAGGGAAAAGGAAAAAAAATGGCGGACAGCGTGGTTTGGCGACCCCCGTGAAATGGTCGTTTGACCCCAACTACTACAGTGGTTGAGAACCACTGTAGTAGACAAACTGGGCCTTTTAGGCTTAAACACTCCTTTGTGCAACTGGATTCTTGATTTTCGTACTAACATGCCCCAGTGTGTGCGAGTTGAAACAAGTATTTCTAACACCATTTTCTTGAGCACAGGTTCTCCTCAGGGCTGCATCCTAAGACCGCTGCGGTTCACCCCATTGACCCATGACTGCTGTGCTAGGTTTGCCACCAACCATATTGTGAAGTTTGCAGATGATACAACAGTAGTGGGTCTTATTCACGATGACAATGAGGGTGCTTACCTCAAGGAGATTGAGGGTTTGGTGAACTGGTGTAAGAAAAACAGCCTAGTTTTAAACATTGGAAAAACCAAAGAGATCATTGTCGATTTCAGAAAAGGCAGGCACAGCCACACTTCTCTGTGCATTAATGATTCACCTGTGGAAATAGTTACCAGCATCAAATTTCTGGATGTGCAGTTAACGAGTAGGCTGGCTTGGTTGCTCAACAGTGAGACACTGGTGAAGCGGGTACAGCAGCACCTGCATTTTCTGCATCGTATGAGAAAAGCATATCTTCTTTCCCCTGTCCTTACCACTTTCTACAGGGGGACCACTGAGGGCATCCTGTCATGCAGCATCACAGTCTGGTTTAGAAGCATCACTGCTTCAGACAGGAAGGCAATGGAGAGAGTGATGAGGATGGCTGAAAAGATCATTGGCAGTTCCCTCCCTTCCATCCCTCCCTTCCATCCAGGACATGGCACATAAGCGTTTTCACTCTCTGATTGTAAAGCTGTTAATTTAACACACCACTAAGAGAGAAAATGGATGAAGATCAGGAACAGATTCTCTTTATGTTGAAAGCAATTTATGAAACTATTCTTACAGCTACTGATGAAATGAGCCTCAGAAAAGAACAAGATGTCAGCCTAGATATACGAACCCAAACTTTGATTACAACTAAAGAATCAACTACATAGAATATAATAGAAGAAGTGGAACAATTAAATACTATGATAGAAGATTCAACTGATCAACAAACACAGTTAACGGAAAACCCAGAAAAGGGACTGACAACACTGAAAATGGAAAAGATTTTCTATACAAACCAGAAGAAACCTGAAAATCAAGAAGAACAGACCGAAGGGAAGATAAACATTTCAGGACAACTACATTGAGATAGAAAAATAAAGAGATGATTTGTTAGCCCTTCCAAAAAACTGGCGACTGGATGGCCTCTTTTATCTCAAACAATATGTATAATAACAGAGGGAGATCTATTTGATGACTTAAAAGCACGGATATGGAAGGCGAGTTGGCAAAGAAAGAAAGCTAGAATAAGGCTGAAGAAAACTGGGGTTTTGACTAGTTAGTAAGGATTAAAATAGAATATACTCAAATATGTGTACTTTGAACACTAGATTTTGTTATGAACTGAGATAAAGAAAACTTTGGTCATTTAAAACCTGGAAGTATAAATATTAAAAATTAAATTTGAATATTGATTTGTTTATAAAGGTTGAATGTAAAAGTAATTAAGATATATATAAGCTAAACATCTATTGATAAATGTAATAAATATGTTTTTACTTAGCTGATGTAATAAGAACTGTATTAGCTTAAATATGAGATAGTAGACATTAAGAGAAAAAGAGGAAGTATTTGATGTTGAAACAAGAGAAATTTTGGTTACTAAATTTAAGACATTTGGAAATTAATAGAAAATAAGAATGTTATACTGTATTATTAATTAAATTACGTAAGATGGTGAGAAATAGAATATATTCAAATAGATAAGATGTGTATCCTGAATATTAGACTTTACGATGAACTGTGATAAAGGGAACTTTGGTTACTTAAAACTTGGAAATTATAAATATTAAAATGTTAAATTTAAATATTAATGATAAACTAAAAATTAGGGAAAACTAATTAGGATATTGATTATTTATAAAGGCTGAATGTTAAAATAACCAGGATATATATAAAAATTATTGATAAATGTAAGAATGTTATTTTTATTTAATTGCTATAATAAGAATTGTATTAGTTTAAACATGAGACAGTAAATACTAAGGGGAAAAGAGAGGAAATATTTAATGTGGTAGTTTGAGACTTGTACTAAAGATACTTGTATGTCATTGAATTATTAACTCAGCCGCCACGTTGCTTTTTAAGTACTAAATGTAAAATTAGAAAATCAATAAAACATTAATATAAAAATGATATTTATGTTATTTATATGTAAGGGTGTAGATTTATACATATGTTGTATATAGCATGTTTAAATGTGTGCTATGTATGTGTATACTTTTAGAGCAAGCAACCAAATTTCATTTTTAATGTGTGCCAATGTGTCCACAGTAAAAAAAATGACAATAAAGGTTATCTTATCTTTTCAGTGCCGTTGTAACTTTGAATGGTCACTAAATGAACTATTGTAAGTCGAGGACTGCCTGTATTGGAAAGGGGGGAAATTAACCTGAAAAAAAAAGAGAAAAGAAAACTGGTATCAGTAGAGATCCAGGCACTAGATGCATCCAGAGGGGAATCGGAGGGGTGAAAGGAAATCACGGGTAATTTCAACCCAAGCTTCACACCAGAGCCACCTACCCGATTCCTGCTCCTTTACAACAGGGAGTCCCGGGACGCTTCTCCCGTTTTCCCCAAAGTCTCTCGGGCGCGCAGAAAACCTCTCGGACCCGCGCAGAGCCTTGGCGTTCCCGCCGCTCGGCTGAACAGCCTCGTCCGCGAGGTCTGCAGCAGAGGGCGCCGTCAGGCCCAACCCCGGCGCGAGCCCGGAATGAGGATGGGGAGGAGAGGAGGCTTTGGGAGAGCGCCTGCGTCTGTTTCCGGGCCGGCCGACCGGCCGCCGCAATTGCAATCTCTGCCGGGCTGAGGGAGCCGCGCGGCCCGCCCTCTCCTCGTCCAGTCGCGCGCGAGGCTGAGAGGGGCGGAGCCGTCCACGGGGAGACTATTTTCCCCCAGCCCCGGGCCAGACAAGCGAGCTGTCTCGTTCGGTGCTCGCGCGGAGAGGAGCCAGGCAGGCAGGCGCAGGCAGGCAGGCGGGCAGACGGGCGTCACTCGTCTCGACTTGGACGAGAGCCGCCATCGATCGCAGGCCACGCTGCGGAGGGGGCTCTGGTGTTGCCATGGTGAGTTCTCCTCCTTCCCCCCCCCCAGACTTTGATCTCGAGTTTGCATTTCTCTAAGCCCGCCGGGGTCGGCAGCGCCGGCTTCTTGTAAGCCCTTGCCCCTCTCCCCCGCGCCTATTTCTGTAACTTGCCTGAGAGTTCAGCCGCCCGATCGGCTTCTAAGCCGGTGTCTCGCCTCCTCAGTCCAACCCTTGTGATCTGCGGGATCTTTTGCATTCCGTGGGTTGTTCAGGGAGGTTGCAGTTCGACGCTCGAGGAAATGAAAGGCTGGTCGGTCTCGGATCTCTGTTTTTTTAGGTTTTTTTCTAAAAGCAAACCCAGGAAGGGAAAAGGATGCAAAGCAAAACAGTCGCTCTTCCTGGGTCAAATAGTGACGGGGACTTGAAGCGGGAGGGAAGCTTCTTTGTTGCTTTTCGTAAATCAAATGAGGACCTTCATTCAGCGCAATCCCTCTGGGTTTGGTTGGTGGTTCAGGCTAGCTCAGGATTCCTCTTCTATCCTGAAATCCCCCCCCCCTTAGAGTCGGCCTCCTTGCCTTACTCTCCACGGGTTACTTTACAGGTAGTCCTCAACTTATCACAGTTCATTTAGTGACCGCTCAAAGTTACAGCATCACTGAAAAAAGTGACTTGTGACCGTTTTTCACACTTACCACCATTACAGCATCCCCATGGACACTTGATCAAAATTTGGGCGCTGGGCAACTGGCTTGTATTTATGATGGTTGCAGTGTCCTGGGGTCACATGATCACTTTTTGTGATTTTTTTTTTGACAAGCAAAGTCAATTGGTTTCTGTAGTGCTTCCCACTGTTATTTATTCTATCTCTAACGTAACTGTGGCAAGAAAGGTTGTAAATTGGGGCAAAATTCACTTAACAACTGTCTCACTTTGGGCTCAATTATGGTTGTAAGTCGAAGACTACCTGTATTTTTTCTTTGTATTTATGTCCTTAAACAGTATATGCTCCCTTTCAAAGTCAGATTCCCCCAGGGGAGTTCACTAATAATCTAAAATCTCAGTATTGGAAATGTGTCCAGACTCATTTCTGTGTTTAAAAAGATTGGAGTTACAGAGGTGTTCTTCCTCCACCCTGAGATAATACAGTTTTTGCTGTGCCTGAAGAACAACCCGGTGCTTCCTGTTTTGTGTTTCATCTCTTGTGAAACAAGAAACAGGTTTTCCCCTAACCACTAAATGTGAGATGGAGAAAAAGCCTTGAAATACATTCATTTTTTGTCTACTTGTAGTGAATGTGATCCCAGCACAGAATTGCAGTACTGTAATTGGCATTCCTTTCTCTGGAAGTTTGGTTGAAAAGTTGAGAAAAACATCATGGGGAAATTCCAAGGCTACGGGGTGGGACATTTTTCAATGCAGAAGAGTTCTTGTTTCAGACGTTCTTTCATAACTAATGGGTGTTAATTACAAATACACAATTGTGCACATTTGGCAGTTTTGGCTAATGGTATTGGGATGTAGATTTTTCCAGTGCATATTGAATAATACCTATTATATCCATTACATTAATTTGCCTAGAAAAATTATCAGTTCACATGGTGTTGAACATGATCTTTATATGATTAAAAAACTGTTTGACCAGCTTAATAATTGTGGAGAAGAATTATTTTGGCATATTTCTTTTTCTGTTGTGGGGTGAAAAACATTGTAGAAACTGGTTTCATAGAGGTGTGTCTTATTTCTTCCTTTATTTAAGATTTTCTTCCCATATTATAGGTACTCATCAATGTGCAGTTATTCTTTTAGTGACCATTTGAAGTTAAAATGGCACTGAAAAAAAGCAACATGACTGTTTTTCAAATAACTGTTGCAGCATTCCCATGGTCACATGATCAAAATTTGGACACTTGGCAACTGGTTCATATTTATGACAGTTGCAGTGTCCCAATGTCATGTTGACAAGCAAAATCAATGGGGAAGCCAGATTCACTTAACAACCATGTTACTAACTTAACAACTGCAGTTATTCACTTAACAACTGTGCGAAGAAAGATTGTAAAGTGTGGCAAAACTCATTTAACTGTCTCGCACAGCAACAGAAATTTTGTGCTCAGTTGTGGTTGTAAGTTGAAAACTACCTGTATCAACATTTTTAAAATCCCAATGAAAAGTAGTTGCATACAGCTGCTTTATGCCACACTGCTTTTTGTCTAAGTGATTAAGCCTTGTAAATGCTTAGTGTTGATAGAATACTTTAACTTGAGTTCCTGCAGAGAAACTGATATATTAGGAAGGTATTTAATACAGATTTGGGTTAAGGTTTTGGGTCTTGTTCGTGTTTCAGTGGGGAACTATCAGTAAATCATGTATAACTTCCTTGAGAGCCATGATGAAGAATTGGTGAGATATCGATGGATTAAAATACATGCTTTGAAGTGTATACTTGGTCTGTTGCACTTTCCCACCAAATTGGCATGTGCATTCAGGGTAAGCTTGGTGATTGAAGAGGCATGAATAGATGATGTTGTAATCCTCCCAGAGTTGCCTTGCAGCAAGATGAGTGGCAAAGAAATTTGATAGATAGATAGATAGATAGATAGATAGATAGATAGATAGGAAACTGGCCATGACTGAAGCTGCAGAGCAGTTCTCAAAAATGGGCTGAAGAAAGTGAATTGATGTAACAATGTCGAAATTCTTTTAGTAATGCAGTCTGTTGAACAGCAAACCTTAAAAGTGTTGCCCAATCATGCTGTGTTCCTGATACTTGTTGAACCATTTCTTTGCCAGTAAGGCTTCCCTAAGCCATGTGGAGGATAAGGCTGCTTCAAAGAAAATGTGATCTACTTTGCTAATTAGCTGTGTAAACATTGCCTTTCAGTTGCACAATTTTGTTTCTCATCATGATAATTTGTTTTTAAAAGTGCTGAAAAATGATATGGGACAGTTTTTCATTAAGTCTGCATTTTCTGCGTCTCATGAGAAAAGTACATCTTCCTTCTCCTGTTCTTACCACTTTCTATAGATAGGGGTGTCAAATTGCTGGCCCACGGGCCGGACATGTCATGCGGAAGCCACGCCACCCCATTGCTGGCAATGGCAAAACTCTCCCGATACGTTGCGCAACATCATGTGACGTCGCAAGTTTGACATGTCTGCTACAGAGGGACGATCAAGAGCATCCTGTCATATTGCATTATGCGTGGTTTGAAGGTCCTGCTTCAGTCAGGAAGGCAGTGCAGAGAGTGGTGATGATGGCAGAGAAGATTTTTGGTAGTTCACTTTCTTCTATCTAGGCCAGTGTTTCTCAACCTTGACAATTTTAAGGCATGTGGACTTCAACTCCCAGAATTCCACAGCCAGCATTGCTGGCTGTGGAATTCTGGGAGTTGAAGTCCACATGCCTTAAAATTGTCAAGGTTGAGAAACACTGATCTAGGCCATGGCATATAAGCGATTTTTGAGCAGGGACCCAGGATTGTCTAGGATGCTGCATATCTTCTTCACGACCTGTTTTCCTTGTTCCTTGATTTTTTTTATTTAAAAAAAAAAAACAGTTTAAACTGTTAGCACAATGATAAAGTTTTCAAAATATATCTATAGTGTAGTGAAGTATGAATGAGCAAAGAACCAGATATAATTTTTGAGTGTTGTTTACTGTTTCGTATAAAAAGAGAAAAGAAATAAAAACAAAAATATTGAAAAATGTATTGTCTCTCTGTAATACTAATAGTCTTACATGCATCTCATTTTACAATTGAAGTCACTTTAAACATTGAAGCCATTTTATGCATCAATAGGAAATTAAATTTACAATCTATTGTATGCAGTGCAGATCTCCAAAAAATTCTGCAGTGATATCCTTATGTGAATTGCAGTTGGAATACATGTTCTTCAGAACCGAGGACAATAGATGTCCTTCCACAGTGTAGTATCGGTACTGCGCATCATAAAAACACGCAGGATCCATTTTCTTCCCAACTGTACATTCTTCAAAAGAGCATGAGTAACATCTCTGAGTCTACTCTCTAATTAGTGGTTTTTTTGTAGTTTACTGTCTTGTGGGTACACACAATTGATACTTTGTGTGGATTTATTTAAAAAAAATGGGAATATCTTTTGATCAAGGTCTCTCTCTCTCTCTCTCTCTCTCTCTCTCTCTCTCTCTCTCTCACACACACACACACACACACACACACACACACACACACGCGGACAAGGATTTGTTGTTAATGGGCACCTTTCTCAATCTATTCAAGCAGAGACTTTCTAGGGGTAGGGAATGATGGCCCTTTTATGACTTGTGGACTTCAACTCCCTGAATCAGCCATGCTCAGGAAGACATTTAAGATGTATGTTGGAATGAAGCAAACTAAAACAGGGCTTAATTTACATTTAACAGTTTCTCACTGAGAGGATAAACTGTCAGTCACATAATGTACAGAGAGTTTTTATCTCTACATAAAAAGTAGTATTCTGGAAAACATAAGGATCTGTTGCAAACCACAGTGATGTTAAAATAAGGACATATGCATCATGATGTCAGTGTGCAGATAAAGCATGTAAGTTGCATCATTTTTGTGATGATGTTGTGCTTGTGTTGAAATTTGCTTTGTTTTGCTTTCTCTGGGGGTGTCCACATTGGGAAACCCCATCTTCTCCCTGTTTATGTAACTATCACTTGTAGTACAGACAAACCATATGCTAGGTTCATACAGGCAGTCCTCAGCTTAGGACTGGTTGCTTAGTGACCATTCAAAGTTAGAACGGACACTTCCTCCTGTGGCTATTTACAACCCATATTGGATATTTCAAAGGCCGGGCCATCCACCATATTGGGCACTTGCAACTGGCTATTTGCAGTGTCCTTGGTCACGTGATATTATATATTTTTTTTCAGAAATCAGCATTAACAGCCATGGTGTTTGTTTAACATCTGATGCAAAAAAGGTTGTAAAATCAGACATGGTCACATGGCAATCCATTTAACAACTGTCATAACTTACTACCCTAATTCTGGATTCAATTATGATAATAAGT